CAAAATTATTATCGTCTTTATTTTTATTTCAAATACATTAATTGTTTTGTTTAAATTGACAAGTTAACTTTGTTAAATTATATAATAAACCCACTGATTGACGTCTATCAATTTCTGCAGAAATGTCACAAATACGTTAATGACATTTTGATTGCGGATGGATGAAATGCAAAAATATCATAAATTAAAGAACTATGATAGATATTATTGTTCACATATATAATTAAAAAGATTGAATTAATGATTTGTGCAAAAAATATGTGTTAATATTGTTTGATTCTAACGTTATTTAATAACTAAATGGTAACGCTTCTTTTATGACACTTTACTGTTGATGGATGGATGATTAATGAAATGCTAACAAAATTATTATCGTCTTTATTTTTATTTCAAATACATTTTAATATAAAATCAAATTATACACGGGAAAAGAAAAAGGAACAAAACAAAAACTTATATAAAAATTTGTTTGTTTTTTTTTCCCTTTTTTCATATTTGTTCAGCAATTAAAATAATAGTTACAAATATAAGATTTTTGGGCACTTATATTCTTCTGGGAGGATTCGGGGATGGGTAGTAATTGGTTTGGCGAGGTTTTCTCTTCAGCGACGCGCGCGCTAACATCAACGCAGCAGCAGTAGTAGTAATAATAATAATAGTAGTAGTAGTATTAGAGAGCAAGAAATGATAGGAAAGGAAAGAGAACGAACGGAACAAGAGAGGTAAGAGACCAAAACAGGTGCAGGCGGCGAATTTTGAGATCACGTATAATAATTACACAAAACAGTTACACAATGTTCGTCTTTGTTTCCTTTAAAAAAAAAATTAATTAATAATAGTATTAATAATAATCATATAAGATAAATGCATGCATCATATATCACCAGAAATGCATCTCTTAAGAACCTGCAGAATCTTCATGTACAAATAGTCTATAGACTATATGTTTTGTGTACGTTGAAAGAGACGAAGGGTAAATAAGATAATGAGCGCAAGTCATGCAAGTAGAAAATAATTATTAATTAAAAAATAAAACAAAATAAAATATCACAAATATATCAATGTATATATATTAAAATTAGAAATATGTTGTGTTGATTATGTCGTGTATATAAATTCCTCGAGGTTACTCGTCGTAATTATTTCTCATTTCTCTCTCTGTTTTTCCGTCTAATCTCCCCTTTTAATAAGAGATCAATCGTCTTTTGGTTTTCTTCCACGAGCGGAAATCATACGTGTGGAAATGTCAACAAGTCTCAAGTCTATGTATATATATATATAATTTTTTTTCTCATAATAAAACAAAAGAAGAAAATAAACGCACACTTCAATTCTTCGATGTATTTTGTTTTCAAAAAAATTTTAAACGCTAAACTGAAGCTAAGAAAATTTGTAAAATATTTGAAAAACTGTTGAAATAGATTTCGTACAAAATAAGGATTAATCAATTCATATTTTCGCTTTGTACAGAAGAACAACAAATCGCGATATTAGCAAAAAAAATTTCGTCGATCCCCAAACATGAGCAAACAAACATGAAAATAATGGAGGAGGAAAATATTTAAAAAAAATATATTTGTAAATAATAATAATTAGTTAAAAAAAAAATGGCACTCGTCGAAATGTGTGCGAAACGTACGGAAAACGACTAAAGTTCTCGCTAATACTATAAGACAGTTTCATGTATCCATTCTTGAATCTCTCTCACTCTCACTCACTCACAAACATCCATATATATATCAGCCAATCATTTACTTTTATTTGCGAACCAATCGCGCGTCATCACTTTCTTTCTCATTACTCAATAAATATTATATTGGAAGTCCTTTAAAAAACAAACTAAAAATAAAAACGAATAATATATGTACAATTGTAATAATATGAGAGACGCAAGGAATCAATCAATCATTTCTCCATTCATACATTCACACTCCTTTTGCATCTTCTTCTCGGCCTAAACTTAAAAAAATCAATAAATTATTAAATTATACAATAATAGTAATAGTAAATGCAAAGTGTGCTATATATATATATATTCAATATCATATATACGACATCTTTATATATATATATATATAATCTTATACTTTTTTTTTTGTTCTTTCATTTCAAATCATTTGTATCGTCTCGTTTCTTGTATATATATAGCAGTTACATTAAAAATCAGCTATCCTGAATCAATCGTTCCAATCCAATCCACACTTGTCTTTCTTCCCTTTTTACACAATCAAACGACCGTTCGAAGAATACACCAACTTCCCATGTTCGTGTATGTATGTATGTATGTATATATGTATATAAAAATCGATTATAAAATAAATCAGATACAAACTGTGTGTTTTAAAATTGAACCTTCCTATTAAATGCCTAAACACAACCCCGATACAAACTTGCTTTTTTTTTTGTTCCTCTCCTTTGCATCCTCATTAATATATATATATTTTTATGTATGTGTATGTATATATACTTCATCTTAAATCCACAATTTCACAACTTCCTTCTTCGAATGCAACAGCCATAGGAAACATTCTTCGCAATACTCTTCTTCATCCACATTCTTCATATCTTAATATACAGTTAATATCCAAGAGGGGGCAGATGGACTCCATTCGCTGGGTTCATCAATTGTTTTCTTTTCTTCTTCTTCTTCTTCTTTGTTTTAAATATACATATACGTTGTTGGTTACTTTAAAAAAAAATAATAAAACGAACAAACAACTCAAAAAATAATACATAGAAATAAATGCACAATAGTCGTAGTGGAAAAAGAGTGAATTATCTTCGGTTCAGTTCGGATTTGATTGCTGGAAGGAAAGAAAAAAATAAATGAAGAATAAAACAGTTGTTGCTGGTGCAAATGGTTTAGAACTGTACCGTCTATAATGTCCTGCTTCATTTTGGAGACTTCCTTCCGCACCTCCTTGATGATTTCGTTTTTGAGCGCCTCCAGCTCGGTGGGCGCGATGGACAGGTTGTCGGTGAGGCCGTTCACCTTGAGGATCGTCTCTTCGGATGCAGATCCGAAACGCTTGCGGACGCTCTTCGGGGAATCGCCGTTGTTGAACTTGCTGCTGTTCGCAGGAAGAGTGTTCGTCTTCTCCCAGGTCGCCTTCTTGTCGTCTTCATCCGCATCCGGAACCTTCTTCTCAACCTACACAAAAAAAAAACATAAGTTATACAATATTCCACGCGCATTCTAAACGAGAATAAGCCAAGAACAAATTCCCGGGATTAAAACCTAGTTAGATTCTCCACAACTCAATGACTTCATTCATTCTACTTGCACAATACCACCCGTTCTTCTTATATCTAACATTTCTTCTATATTTTTTTTTTACTCTCGAGCTTTCTAAATAAACCTTTACATAATCGCTGACATTCACACTTAGCTATAGTTCCCTGAAAACTTGCAACCTTTATGCTTCTATTTATATTGACATTCCGTTTTACTCACTGCAGTGGCGAAAAATGCAATGATAGTAATTTTATTTGAGATTTCAATTTCTAACAATAAATAATATTTAAGAAATGTTAATGAGAGTGTAAATCGTTATAGTTATTATGAATGTGCATTGAATGAATATGCCTGAGAAGATAAAAAGAGTTCGACGAAACAAAGACAATTATAATAGTGGAACCACGAAGAAGAAGGTAGCGAAAGAAGAGAAAGAGACAATAAAACAATGGTACTTACGGCCGCCCTTCTGCGCGCTAACGTTTTCGCCATCTCATCCATCATGCAGGCCATACTTCCGCCGCCACCTCTACCTATTGTTCCGTAGTTGCTGCCACCGCTGCTAGTCGAAGATCCACTATTCTCTGCCGGCGGTGGAGTATTCTGTGAATGCATATTATCTCTGAATTTCGGTTTCGTTTTCTCTCACAACAGAAAAAACCAACAAATTGCAATTGAAACTGTATCATTTAAGATTCAGCTATAAAATCAATCAAATGATTTACAATCTCTGTAAAGTTGTCTTATAATAATCTTGTAATTCAAGCTTTTCAGATGTGTCTCACGAGTAATGCTGATCTTGTAAGAAATGTGAATAGTTTCAGTTATTAAGATAACAATATGGTTTACCTTGCTATTTCTTTTTAATCTTGCGCTCTGCAATTGAGCGGCCAAGGAGTTACTTTCGACCATGTCGCTGCTAGCCGACCGGGACATGTTGGCCGGTGGAGGTGGAGGCGGTGGGGGTCCTCCTCCACCGCCCATGGGAGGCGGACCTCCACCTCCACCCATCGGTGGTGGTCCACCGATGACGCCGCCACCGACGACCATGAGAGGCGGCGGACCGCTAGGAACTGGCGGTGGTCCGCCTCCAAGCATCGGCGGTGGGCACATTGGAGGCGCCGGAGGTGCCATCGGCATTTGACCCATGGGCGGCGGAGGCGGTGGTCCACCGGACATCATCGCATTGGCCATCATGGGAGGCGGTGCCGGAGGAGCGCTGGTCGTGCGTTGGTGGCCGGGATTTGAGGGCGGCGACACCGGACTAGGCTGCACGATGCTGCTGGGTGTCGCCGGCGCGACAGGAACATTATTCATGGGCGACGTCTGCTGCTGCGGCGACATCAGCGCCGACGATATCCTGCGCTCCTGGATCATGGCAACATCCTCCCTGGTCATCGTGCGGTACCCCATGTCCTCGTCGTACTGCTGCTGAGCAGGAGAATACTGTTGCTGGGGTTGCTGCTGCGGCGGTGGCTGCTGTTGCATAGTCTGTTGCTGTTGCATGGTCTGTTGCTGTTGCATCGTCGGTTGCTGCAGCATCGTCTGCTGCTGCATGGTCTGCTGTTGTTGCACGTACTGCTGCTGTTGCTGCATAGTTTGTTGTTGTTGCTGCTGCTGTTGCTTTACTCTATCCACATTTCCAAGAATCTAAAACAGCAATTTCTGATTAGTTACGAAAACAGGAAACGTAATTTACACAATAACTACTTCTAAGGAATGGAACATCGCTCTGGCAAAGAGATCCGCGTCCTCCTTGCAACTGAAATTGAGTCCGTAGACCTGCTTGTTGTCCCTCCATTGATGGAAGGTGGCCGTCGCCTGGTTGTACTTCAAGCCCTTCAGGATGGCGCAATTGATGACGACCTCGTGATCCTGCAGCTTCCTCCCGACGACCCTGAACGTCTGCTGAGCCGTGTGCTGGTAGATGTGGACCTTGGAAAGACCCAAAGATGATCCCGATGGTACCCATTTCTTGTTCACGTCATCGTACACCATCACACTAGCACGGGCACTCGCAATCGATTGTTCACTAGACAACAGCAGCAAAAGAAAGGGGGAAAAAAAAACGAATCAGTATTAGAAATACAATCGCCACAAACGAACAAAAGGCCTCCTGCAATCTTATATTCCTAACAGAAAGAGGCGACAACATCAAAGTTCATTAAACTAGCATAGCTGAAGCAGGAGAATTAGTCAATTAGTTAGATGGCGATGAAGATGATGATAATGATGATCACGTTCATTCGTGAACCTACCAGGCCCAGTACTGTTCCCAGCTCTCGCGTTTCTTCCTCCTCAATTCCACCTCGTATTGTTCGTCGAACTCTTTGTAAAACTCATCAAACAGATCTTCCATGTTGCGAGTAGCACGCGGAACGAGTTCTATATATGTATATAAGTATGTATATAAATTCGCGATACTGCTGCTGCTTGCGTTGTTGTTATTAACGGCGGAGCGCAAGAAACGTAATCACTTTCACTCTCGAATTACTTCGCGTTGCGTTCCATTATTATTTGCTCGAGAACGAAAGGAGAGGAAGCACAAAAAAGAAAAGAACGAACGAGCAAAATGTGTCGGTTATTATACACACACACATATATATCTCTCTCCCTAAACACGCAACGTCACCGACCCGCAATACTTATTCATGTATGTACTTGCAGCTAAATAAAAATGTGTTTGTATAGTGAGTTTGTACAAACCGACTGATAATATAATAACCAGTTCCCCTCCAATTTTCACACCGATTATATAATATCATAAAACGCCGCCGCCTCCTCTTCTTCTATGCGGAGGAGACGCACTTCCCCAATTTGGTGTTTCGATTGGCAAACGCAAACGCAACAAATCTTTATTTCTACAGCACCAATATTCATTCACACATTAATTAATCGCATTTTCTTAAACGAAATCGACCCAACTAATCCATCCATCAACACCGCTCTTATTAACACTTTAATCAAACTAATTGAACCCGATTTTCTCCAGCAAGCTCATCTAATCAAGTTTCACTTAGCGAGAAGGTACATCGTTTCAGCTAAATACAGAATAAACGCAGCAACAGCATATTTGCGCTCTAATAAAATTGTAAATTAAATCGAATTGGATTGCTGTCGAAACAATTGATTGCATTCCGCTTGAATTCCAACAATTAATACAAATGAACGTGAAAAGAGTCTGTTTACAATTAACCCATCGATTTGCAATAGATCACAACGCTGACTACATCTATAACCACCACCCACACAGTAAACGTTCACAATAAGCTGATTTTAATTCGTCCATTGATTTATTGATGATTCCACCACCGCCACCGAATCCGTTAAGCTCGCAACCGCAAAACATGATTAATGTTTACGTGCAAGTTAATAACAAACGCGCCGCTGTTATTGGAAATCAAATTCGTGCAGCTTACGCTATTACACATTTTTATTCATCACTGCGCATTAATTTCATTATGATAATCTTACCAAAATAATGAAGATTATTTAACATTCAAAAAGCAAACCGAAAATCGCTTCAATCTTCACCGCATGCGATAATATTCTCTCTGCACTTTCTCGGTGTCCGGTTTCAACTTATTTTTGGGTTGATCTTTAAAGTCTTCGGGCTTCCACCAGTCCTTTGTTAATTCACTCCGAGCGTGATTCATAATTCTAAAATTACGCTTATTTGTATTTCAGTTTTTTTTTACAAGACAAGAACTTTGCACAAAACAATTCTGGAAAATCTAAGTCATCATGTCTCTCGAGTATCAAACATTAGTAACAATTTTCTTTATATATTTATGAATCTACAAGATTTCAGAATTCGTTTCTGTACAAAGTATAACTTGTTGTGTATCCACGTAATTCCTATTGTTAACTTATTTCATTCACATTTTCGTGTTTACTTTCATAATTATCTGAAATGTAAACAAATAGTTAATGTATAATAAACAGAAAACTGGAAACAAAGACGTGAATTGAAACAATTAAAGAAAAACATGTATATGGGAAAGTCTCCAAAATGATTCTAATTTATTTATATATTGACTGGATAATCTTTCACTTTTATTGAAATTATTGACCGTAGGTGGTTCAGAATCTAAAATCTAAAGAAATGGCATTCTCTACAAAGTTTATTGCACAATCGTATTTGAATTGAATTCAAATTTCACTCGCATTTATTGATAAATGAATAGGCGAAAATAATAATAGAAATTAAGATTAAATGAGTTTCGATCTTATTGGAATTAGTACAGGGCGCAAACTAAAGTATTAATAGAACAATCAGAGGGGAAATATAATAATAGATAGTGGGTGACACACGAAAATGAATTTAATCAACTGATTGTGATATCCCCGCAGCATTCGCGTGGGTTTCGCTTTCACAAAACTGACTTCCTATTCGATAATAAAAGTACGCGTGTAACCGCATCACAACGGAAATGCGGCTTTAATAATACTCGTGTCTTTGCTGCTGCTGCTGTTGTTGTTGTTGATGTTATTATTTGCAACCAAAAACCATCGTCTAACGTGTATTTCTCGCTTGATTTCACGAAATTCGATCGCAGCAACACTAGACGCAAGAAAGAAGCAAGCATCGTTGCATCGGCCTCCTTCGATGCAACGCAATTACGCAACCCGACTCGACAACATTTATTAATTAACAATTTTGCCACCGCTGAGGAAGGTATTATTGTTTTCGAGTCGAGCGCACGAAAGAAAAGAAAAAACAACAAACATTCGAGGAAATCATGCAAGCATGCAAAACAACCATGCCGAATGCACTATGGGCGTTTCGCAAACAAGTGGATTACGCATTATTACATTCTTTGCCATGCCTTTACCGATAATCATTATCACTACATTCTTTTTTTGTTGTTACCGAAATAATAATTATCATCTTTGCAGAATCCCTTCGCGTTAATCTGAGCGAATAAAATGCACAACAAACTATTTGTTTCCATCAAAAAACTTGATTATCTTTCCAGACCGACGAATTTCCAATAGGACGTGTCAACAAATAGTCAAAGATAGGACGAAGTGCCACACCTTAGACTCGAGAAATCGCAAAATTGATTATAGCATCGATTTAATGTATGAAATGGAAATATACGAATAGCGGTGGCGCATTTTATAAATTTAATAAACAAAAAATCAATTGAAATTTACTCGATACAAATCGAATTTGTACTGTTAGGAATTCAGCAAAGCGTTTTGATCGCCTCATATTGTGTTTGTATTCTTCGAAAGTCGATGATTTGGCGGAATTTCCAGTTACTAAGAAACATGCGTACGCTATGAAATGAAATGATTTGATAAGTAAAAGAGGGTTGAGTGTGTATGTATGTAGATTATTGAAGACTAGAAGTAAATGTAGAGACGACAAAAAAAAACTATATAGACTAACTAGGTATATTGTATTTGTAGATACCTTCTACGTGTCTCAGCGTTGGCGCTCATTTCGGCAACGCTGAAAAGAGTCGGAACATAATAATAATAATATATACACACACATTGTTAACAATTATCATCACGCTCGTCACTCTTCCGGAATACAATGGTATCCGGATGAGGAATGACTAACCGTCCACTTAGGCAAACTCTCTCTCTATAATTTATAATGACTCAAAACAATTTACATGTTTTTTTTTTATCAATTTCAATTTCCCTCTTCCTGGTCCCACTTCTACATCAAATACCATAAGTTTATCTAAACTCTGGAAATTCTCCGAATGATTCAGAGCATACACAGATAAAACCAAAAAACACGTTTTTATCAAATATTTGATTTTGCATCACAGACAAATTTGAAATGAAATATGTATACGTTTTAAGTAACGCTGAAAAATTAACTGAAATCGCGAAATAAAACGTGCAGTTTAAGTGTGCAACTTAAATACTTAGTTGTATTTCTTTTCAACTTTAATACCCGATAAGAGCGTACAAAAACAATCATATTTTTATGTGTACTTATCAATGATACGAGCTCTATTTCTGTCACAACAAATAGTATCTATTCGTTGCAAAATATGAAAACATATTTCAATTATAAACCGTATATACTTTAAGAATCTTATAGGAATGAGAGCATATTTGAGAAACATTGAAAACTTCATGAAAGAAAGATTTGAATTTAGTAAAGAGAATATTAGTAATTCCTAAACATGACAAGAAACTTGGCTCCCAAACTACGTGTTTCTGGAATACTAAAGATGTTGAGGAAACAGGAAGTTTCGTATCTACAACGAATCGACATGCGTTTAATATAAATGTAAAAGTATCAATTAACAAGTTTTTATCCGAAAATTGTAGAAATGAGACTTAAGTTTCCTGCTACGACTGATCCAATTGGAAATATGTAAATGCATTATTATTATTTCATGTGAATCGATGTTATTGTTTCAACTTGAACGCGATAAACAGCGAGGACGCGCCCTTGTGGAATCTTATGCTTTGCACAAGGATTGTCGCGACTAATCCTCGTTTCCTTCTTTCAATTGTAGTTGGCTTTTTTTTTTAATATAAACAGTGCATAAAGATTTCGAGACATATGGTATTTGGATTACGTTTTAATGGATCTGCATATGGTGTTTATTTGTACAGAAGAGGTCGTAGTGAAATGTAGTAGGCGTAGGTAGGAAAAAACAAATAGTGTCCCTTTCTTTCTTTAATGGGGAGCAGTTTTTATGACTCCGAGGAAACAAAACAAGAAAAGTTGTTAAATGACTTGAGATCTGTTTGCACAATGAATTGGTTTTTGTTTGATTCTTTCTTCGAAAACATCGTCGAGCAATGAGTTTAAGGTTGACCCTTGGAGGGTCCTGGAGGGTGTCATGGAGGACACCACCTTCCGGCTAGGATTTTCCAGCGGGGTGGAATAAAATTACGATGAATGTTGAGAGAGAGATACTTTCACCCTCCGGATCGGGGTTGTAGGTAGTAGTAGGTCTCCCTATTTCTCCCCAGCCATTGGGAAATAAAGAGTTCAACACACCCAAAAGTTTCACCCAAAATCGATATGTAAAAATTAGCCGACAAAAGAGGATCGGGCACAATTCCGCACTCTGGATATAAACAATGGGTTGTCACTCGATTTGCGTGTAGAAACGGGAGAGGATGAAGGAAGAAGCGCACAGAACAAAAAAAAAAGAGCAGTCTTCGTCTTGATCCATCGAAGATGCGGATAATTCGCCGGGAATGCATGAGAGAGTTCGACTGACTGACAACACAGTGATAATAGGGCTCTGTGGGGGAGAGAGACAGATAAGGAGAGGATGCTGAACTCACCTCATCTTTGCAGTGTGAATTTGCGAATCCCGTTTTCTTCCTCTCCACTATTCCTTTTTCCCTTTTTGCGAAAACGTACCGAGAAGCGAACGGTAGGTAGGTAATGACCCTCTCGTCTCCTCACATTCACCTGCACCGCAACACCATATCACACACGCTCTCAGCCCTCTTGAAATCCTCCTCCTTCTGCTGCTGCGAATTCGTTTACTTGCGTTCACTTCGGAGACATTTGACTACGGATCGCAAACTACTACAACACTTTTACTATCCTACTCAAGAAACGAAAATGACGGCGGCGCCATCATGTTGTCATTGCGACCAGCCCGAAACCGCCGCCAATCGCAGCACGCGCGCGCCTTTCCCGCCCCTTTTCGAAAAACCTCACCGTGCAGATCTGCTGCTGCTGTTAGGCCTGAAGCGATTGCGGTAGTCCGCAAGCTTTGATTAGATTTAATCATTCGCCTCGAAAGGAAACAATATTACATTATCCACATTTTACGAACCAAGTCTTAAGAAACCTTGACACAATCTCATTGAAAAAGTTTATCCATTCAAAAATTCTAAATTTTATGCTTTAATTAGCACGAATTTATAATGAAATGAAAACACAGAAATCATTGACTTATTGACTTTTCAGTTTAATTCGAATTTGGATTAATTTGATCACATTGTTCAAATCAGAATACTTTCAATTTCAACTTAATATTCCCAAAAGTATTATAAGAAACTGACTTAGATTTTAATGATCATAAAGTTAAGAAATGCAAGCATTCATTTCTCATCATTGCTCAAATTAGATTACTATACTTTCTATTTAATATTACTAAAAAGTATCTCCAGAAGCTTTGTTTAAATATAAGTCATCACAAATTTAAATTACTTTAGTATAAAACTTTTCTCAATTCTTTAACTTCTTTAAGTAAGCTTAGATGAAAATATCATTGATTTCTATGACAACAAAAAGCTATTGTTTTAAATAAAGTGACTTCAATTCAAACTAATTTAATGAGTTGTTAAATTATTTATTTTTAAATTCAAAATTTTATGCTTTAATTAACACGAATTAATAATTAAATGAAAACACAGAAATCATTGACTTTTCAGTTTAATTCGAATTTGAATGAATTTGATCACATTATTCAAATCAGAATACTTTCAATTTCAACTTAATATTCCCAAAAAGTATTATAAGAAATCTGACTTAGATTTTAATGATTATAAAGTTAAGAAAATTTCTTTTTGCATTCATTTCTCATCATTGCTCAAATTAGATTACATATACTTTCTATTTAATATTACTAAAAAGTATCTCCAGAAGCTTTGTTTAAATATAAGTCTACATAAATTCAAATAACTTTAGTATAAAAGATAAACTTTTCTCAATTCTTTAACTTCTAGTAAGCTTAGATGAAAATATCATTGTTTTCTATGACAACAAAAAGCTATTGTTTTAAATGAAGTGACTATTAATCAATTCAAACTAATTTTAATGAGTTGTTAAATTATTTATTTTTAGAATTATTCGGTAGGAAACATCGTTAATAAATAATTAATCGAGAGGAAGGGAGAGAGATTGAGGAATGTCTGCGTAACCGCATCTGAATTCCGTCGAAATGAAATACAGTTATGATAACAGCTTTATCACCATACGATAATAAGCGTATAAGATTAATTGAATAATCTCGCTAATTGAAAGAAATAACTGTGAGTTGTTTGCGTAATAAAAATAAACGTTAACTCTTTTCTGTTTATTGCATTAAGCAATTTCGATATACTATTTCAATTAACAAACTAGAATGCGTTGCGTGTTTTTTCATAACGATCAGACCAGCTGACATCAAAATGCGATTGATATGTTTTCGTTATTCCCAACAAAGAGAATATATTTACATCTACGATCGTATAACGAACTGGAAACAAATAAATAAACGAGGTGAAGAAGGAATGAACATGAGATTATTCGTGTCGCGATTAATGCGTTTTCTTTAATTTTCTACGAATTGGAGGCCTCTCTTTGCTGTAGAAATTACAGGTCTTGATGAATTTCCTGAAATTTATATCATTATTATTATAATTTAATATTTAGATGGTGATTCAATTGTGGTTCTTACTCTAATAGGAACGGTAGGAAAGGATACCGGAATATCCGGAAATGGTCCAGCTCCCAAAATGGAGAAAACTGGTAATAAGTTATGTTCCCTTGGTTTGGTTTTCTAGCATTCTTTGCTAATTCTGAAAGCTGCAATTGAAGATATATATAAATAAATGTATTGTTTTATGATGCGCGAAGACGCTACCTTCTTTCCCAAAGTGTACGGTATAACGCTGTCATCTTCTGCGTGCAAAATCATCACTGGGCAATCGACATCCACGATGCTGTTGCTAGTGTTGAAAAAGAATCCGTTCCTCTCCAACGGTGAAACTATCGTGTTTTCAAACCACGGCAACCAGGCGAAAAGCTACAAATACGGTTCGAGTATTAATGATCTGCGATGTTAATGAAACGAACGAGAATGATAAGTGTTAATAACTTGAACGTGTTAATTTTCAAATTAGTGTACTATAACTTATCTTTCTCGTAACATGTTCATAATTGTACCCTTCCATAAGGATGCACCGGAATCTCTTCAGCCATCGACGTCAGTGGAGCTTCCAAAATCAGACCCATGGGCATCAACCGTTCCTTCTTCAATTTGGTGATTGTCAGAGCGCTCAAAGCGGTGCCCAGAGAGTGGCCCCAAATGTAAATGTGATTGTTCGTTTTGGCGCGAATCCATTTGTAAATTTCCACGAAATCTTTGGAGATGCCTTCTTCAGAGAGCAACACTTTACTGGAATCACCAAACCCTGAAATTATGTTGCAACTGTATCTCGTTACGTTATAACGAAGAATGTTGATATTACCTCTGTATTCAACAGCAATAACATGAAAGTAGTCCTTGAGCACAGCAAAAGTACCTTTGGAGTCAGTCCTTGTTTCACCGCTGCCATGGAAATGAATGATTGTGCTGTAATTGCTTGTGGCTAAGGCTTTGTCAAAGTCCAGTTCGTTCTCCAGCTCTGTAGGCAACACATGCCAAATGCCCAAGGTGACGCTCTCGTCTGGATGATCAATTGTGTGGTATATGTTGCGAATCCCTTGGAAGGGTGATTCATAGTCAAGCGGATTGTCTGATAAGCCCACTAAAAAACAATAATAGTCAAACACTATCATATAGTGTGATATGATAAGGAAAAACAAGTGTAACTTACTGTTTGTAAACATGAGCATCCTCTGAAATGTGACTGAATATTTGAAAGCCACCGGCACTATGATGAATGCTATAATTAGCAGGCAGCAGAGTATTGCAATTCTAAAAATAAAAACTACATTGAAACCAACATTCACAAACAACAACAACAATAATAACAATAATACTTACATCAAAGCTATTGAGTAGAACATGAATTTGCTTAATTTACAATGTTTTCGATAGTATCTAGGGCAACTGTGCAGCTTCAGTAAAGCTAATTTCATTTTTGGCAATATCTTATCACAGACCATTTCTCAGCAACAATCCACAGCCCCCCTGAAGTGAAACAACAACAACAAACGCAGCTCTCTCGATTAAAATACTTCAGAGTTATGAAAGTAAACGCAACAGAACTTTACACCCACGCATTTTTCGATTGTATAATTTCCTCGGAATTTATGCAGCGAACTGAGAGGAACAATCACTGCGAACCAATTAAAACGCAGTAAATACAGGTAGCGCACAGGTAAATATTGATGTCAAGGTGGATGAGCAGGCAACCAAACGTACACCGGTGCATTGATTTATCGTACTTTATTTGGTAAATTTACAGTAATATTCAAAATCTTATTGGTTTAAATATTGAATAACATAATAACAATAATAATTTATTACTTTAGTCATAGAAAAAAAGCAAAAAAATAGATAATTCCTCTTATTATAAGTGCAAATGGTTACTGAACATAAGTTGTTGATTAATGGAAAAGTGTTTCAGTTTAACGTAAATTTATATATACTCTTAAATTAATAATGTCGTTCTTTGTTATTTATACAATTTGATATCCGATAAGTTTTTTTTTTGAACTTTGAACATTACTATAATTTGATTGGCATTATTATAGGCAACCAAATTCACGTTGCATTTTAATTATTTATATTTAAATTTAAATATTCAAATAAAGATCTTACCATATCTTTACGTACTTGTACGATAATTAACGCGTGTATGTCATAAAGTGAATTGGCTGTGTTGAAAACGCTTGCTTCTCCAATTTTCTTAGCTCATTGTTTGCATTAATCGACAATAATTATAAGATGATTAAGTAGAAAGCTTTTGCAATTACGTAGAGGTGTGCATTACAGAAGAACCTTTTTGCAGGTGCATCGTTTTGTGAGCGGTTCGAAAAACCTATCAATTGTCGAGGAACATTACGCGTCTGGAAATCAATTTCGTAGTCATTCCAGTTACTTTGTTTGCAAGTAGTTTAGTTAGTTAGTTAGTAGCGGTCGCGACACCGTTGTGTTTGAATGAATACATTTGCCAATTATTATCTGCGCGTGCCATCCGTTTAATTAAACGGAATTAATTCGAAACGAAAATAGTGGCACGTTCTTTCGACGATTCATCAATGTACTCTAATTTAATTGCCCATTTTTCACAGGTAAGTTCGCATTTATCGTTAGTTTTACTATTTTTTGAAAAGACCGTTTGTTATTGTTTGTTGTCTGCGCTTGCCAGATTTTCTGGAAATTGAAAATTGTAATTGGAAAGCTGCGCATCGGACCATGCGATCCACCGAACGAACGGATGTCTCTCTCGAAAAGCATTACTCATAGGTGTATCCTTGATGGTTTTTTGTACGTAAAAGAATGAATGAACAAGGAGCAACAACGTTCGCTTCTTTTAATACATATGACTGCATTCGAGGATCAACAATGGCTTCGAAAACAAAGAAAGCCTTATCCCTCCGAAACAAAAACGCATGCACGCACGCACACTAGACCCGGGAGCTCTGTGAAAAGGGAAAACGCAGTTACAGTTAACCATCGGAATTGGAAGGTGGCCTCACCTACATACATAATTATCAATTAAACGCATAAATTCGGACTTTTATTTTTATATCTTTAGCTTAAAATTAACCTGCGCTCAAGGGAAACGCGACAATAACAGAAATAGAGCGCATTGTGAAACACCTTCTTCTTTTTTTGGCTTTCATCGAATTCCGCGCAAAATTGCTGCTCGAAGGGAGAGAGTGGAGTGCGACATCACAGCAGAAGATAACACCCATCCAGCCAGCCAGTGTTGTGTCACCTGTCAAAAACGATGGTGGTGGTGGTGGTGCTAACAGATGTCAAAATTTCGTTTTCTTTGTGGAGTTGAAAGTTGGATGGAAACGGTTCGAGCTGGAATTGGTTTTAAAATGTGTATTGTTCGACGTTGAATGGTAGTTTTCGTTGGTTCTGCTGGTAAGTCCGTTCGTGTCGCCCTATAACCTCTAAACGCCAGTCGCGAGAACCAGAAAATTAAAAAAAATGAAGTACGACGATAGCTAACCTCTCAGGCCGCAGCCTACTCCAACAAACAAATTTCTAATTGGATTCCGACCGCAGCCTCCTTCATCGCCTTAAATAAATCAAATTCTATCTTTAAATGATCTCAGATTAAACGTATTTCAATCTACACTCTTGCTTTGCATGGATACACATACATATGCATATATATATAGCATACCCCTTGGGGGTTTCCTCTGCCACTTATAGGGAGGTGACTTTATTTTTAACACCTCAATCCTTAAACTAATTCCATGCATAGTTGAATCACTGTTAAAGCCATATTCGGATTCAATGGCTTTTCCTTCCTTATTTATAGCTCGAGTGATTCACTCAGCACCAAAAAATTTATTTTGCAAGGATCATATTTTGCTACTAATTGAGACTCCTATGCAAAATTCTGTTTGAGAAACAAGAAACTGTGTGCAATTCCACATTTGCTGATGATTTAATCACTGTGGGCTGTTGCATGCATGCATGCTAATTCCTTCCTGAAATTATTCAGTTTGCTGGGCTTAGTGGAAAACCAGTTATAATAGAATTTTTGGAAATTACTTTATCTAATTAATGATTCTCGAAAATAATGTTTATTGCAAAAATTAGTAATAATTAATATTTCCACCATTATATTGATATTAGATTTAACAAGTAATATTCATAACAAGAAACTTTCACAATTCTAGAATTACATTATTTTTGATATATTCCAAGAATAACAACTGTTTTATTACCTTCACTGGTATTTTGAAAGTCGTAATTGTAGTGTTAATTTGTGAGTCCTAAATAAATACTATTGAAGTAACTGTTCAGGAAATAATAAATATGCTAAAAGTCTAATAGGAAATAGTTTATTTTATTATTGAAAAAGAACTCCAGTGACTCATCAGTGTTTAGATTTTTTTTTATCAGTTCTTCAAGAATGTAGACATATGTAATCTGTTTATGATAATGAAAAATTTGCATAAATTTTCCTGTTAGAATTTTGTAATATATGGATTGATTGAAATTTTATAATTTTATGTTTATGTTGTGAAGAATAACTGTTTAAATCGAATGTGGGTATTTGAACAGTGAACTTTATCTACCGTTAATTCTTGTGATTAGTTTTGTTAAGTGGATATTTTTTTATGAGGCTTTTAAGGCTAATAGTGTTGTTATATTTAGTTTTGTTTGAGATATGTTTGTTATCGTCTGCGTTAATGGATTAATTTACGATATTAAAACGTATGCAATGTTTTTCAAAACATCATTGTTGACTGTTTATTTTTTTTTCTGGACAAGTAGAAGATATCATTCATTCATATTTTTTGATATACAATGTATGGTTTGTAAAGTGTGTGCATCATATTTATTGTGAGTTTTTTTTTTGAATGAAATTATTAGTATTAGAATGAAGTGCGTTATCACTCCTTATACGATAAAATTAATTAATAGTCATGCTACATAGCTTATACCAACAATGCAGAGAAATTAATTAACTAACATATATTTTTTTGCGTTCACCTTGCCTGTTTCAGCGTTAATGGGTGTGTTGTGAGTCGCTCCTGCGGAAAGGTCAATAATGGACGAAACGTTGGAAGTGTTGTCGCCGCCGTCGTCCACGGATGAAGGTGAGAAAGTGCCGGAGTCGCCGAAACCTTTGGCGTTCACCATCGACTTTGGGGAGGAAAAGTCCATCAACAACCAACGACTGAAATCGATGGTGGAGAAGTACCAGAAGAAGCATCGCAGGGGCCAATCACTGTCCAAAATCGAGGACGCCTCTACCTCGACCACCGCAATCAAAAAGCCGCCCCAATGTCTGAGTGGAAATCTGCCGCGCAAATCAAATTACCTTCCGGAATTGCCAAACGCCATGTCCTCCATGGAGAAGAGCACGCGCGGCCTCAACATGCTGAAGCTTGAACTTCCGCTGAAGAACACGACCACCGACAAATTCCAGTGCTCCAGTCCAGAGGATCTTAAGAACGGAAGCATTGAAGATGAAGAACAAATTTCACCTAGTCTGCTCGAGGATTGCAGACGATTATCTAGTCCGGACAAGAATGACGTCCATGAGTTTGTGGAGGGTACGGAATTCGATTTCGATATTTCAGATGCGGTGAGCGATGCGGGAACGTACACTCTGGACGCGGACAACTACTCCGAGGAGCAGAAGGCGCGCATGAGTATAGATCACAAATTCGAGATCGAGGAGGTCTCGGTGTTCAGGAAGACGCAGGAGTACGTGCAGAGTTTGGCCACGCTGGAGCAGGAGGTAACTCCGGTGGAGGAAGAGGCGCCAACGCCTGTCCAGAAACCGCAGACGCTGTCCTTTGCACAGAACAATCAGCCGAGCAAGCTTTCTCCGATCGTCTCGCCCACGCAAAACATCTCGATTATGCAATACGAAGGTGAGCCGAAGCCGGTGAATTTCATGGAGAGCACGAACCGTACGTTCTCGAAGATCATGATGCCTAGTCCGAAAGCTCGCACAGGGATCGGCCTCGAGAAGGAGGCTGATCACGGCAACATAATTTCGATCACGTCTAGCGGTGCTTTCAGGACGAAAGAGGAACGCGACAGGATAAACAGGCGCAAGTTAAGTTTAGCCAAATCGGAGATACAAGTGCAGACGTACATTTCGAATAACGAGGAGGATGCTCCCAAAGATGTGCACGAACTGAAACCGCTCAGGAGAAATCTGAGCGCCAACCTAGTGCTAGTAAGTGAAAACGTACCGCAGACTATAAACAATATTAAATCTAAGAACGCTTTGCAAGAAGAGATCGTACAAACCAATGTGTCTGTGGGAAAAGTGGTCAATTTACCGCCGTGCATTGGTGGCATGTCCGGCAAAAATTCGCCTACGAAGATTCCGTCACCCATCCACACGTCGAGGCCGCGCAGCAGGACCAGCTCGAACTCGCTGAACGTGGACTTGTCCGATAGCAGCTTAGAGACGGAATCGTACTTGAGGCCCACACAGTGTTTATTGAATTCCTTGCAGCAGAAGCTCTCGATGGAGAACAGCGACAACGATTGCGACAATTACGAAACCAAATATTTGAATAACGATGCGAGAAATTTGCTTAAGAAGCCGACGCACATCCGACACAATTCGCTGGACGACCGAAACATGAAGACGAACAAACTGGAGCACTTTCAGAATAAGAACTTTATTGATCAATCTTACGCCAACGTGTTGAATCAATATTCCCATGGCAAAGTGCACAAGATCCAGAACTCTCCAAACAACAGTCCGATCCGGAGGTCGAGCAGTTTCTCGACGAAAAACCACATCAACACCAAGTGTTCAAACATCACGCAGAAGGAGAGCAACATACGGAATTCTCCGAACCTGGGACGAAATGGGTCGATCCAGAGGTCCTCGTCGACGGCGACAATGCGATCATCGATGCTCATACGACACGCCGATCACAGAATGGATAGGAACCAGTTTGGTGAGACGGAATCGAGCTCGGAAGAGGATTTGAAGCATAACATCAGGAAAAAGGACATCACAAATACACGGTACAATCGCGCGTTCAGCTTGAGGCGTGGCCGTCTGGAATCGGAGTCGCCTCCGGGGCGGTGTCCGAACACGCCCGAGATGCACCGAAAGTTCCAGCCGAACGAGCACATCAGATCGGAGAGGGCGATATCCGTCGACAGGAAACCGAAGGTCTCTTCCAACGAGGTCCAAAGCAAGTACTTACAGAACCTCTCCAAACCGAAGACTGTCCAACTTAAGGCCGAGGTCAAACTGCCGCAGAAGATCGGCAATCTAGCGACGAAACCATCACCGAAACCGCAAGTCTTCTCCAGGACCGACACCGGCCGCTTCAGCATGAGAACGAACAAACCGCCTCCAGTTACGAATTCGCAGAAGACGATCCGAAAAGAAATACCAGGTAATATAGTATGATAAACATAAACTTAATGAAGATGATAAAATGTCCAATTTTATTTTATTTCAGTTGGTAAAAAACCGTCTGGACCTAGGAGCAACTCGTCGCTGACGAGTAAAGAGGTGGATTTTCAGAACTGGAAGCGCAGAAAAAGCTACGACCCTAGGAAGGCTGCAGCCGAGGGTAAACGAAAAGCCGAATTAGCTAAGAAAAATAGCACACCGATGACGCAATCGTATCACGAAGCTAACCAGGATTGCGATAGCTCACCGTCACATTCTAGCTCCGTGCATCGATCGCAGGTGAGTCTCTCTACTTCATGCATCTTCATGCGTCCAGGTGTTGGTAAACGAATAAATTGGTGTTCCTTCGTTTTTCTAGTTAAACTCTTGGTACAATACTCTATAGCCGTGTTCCTATAGAGATTAGTATCCGAGATATCTATATATACTTTTTGTTAAAAAAAAATAAAATACGAAACGGTGATGGTATTTATTATATGTAAGTAAGTTTCTTCTTTCAATCGCATTAACAGAAAGTTAACAGGTTGATATAATGCTTGACTCGATTAAGAATACATTCATTTCTATCTAACATGATTCATTCATCATTACATCATCTCTGCGACAAAACTATAAAAAAAAAAGCCACGAGAAATACTTATGATTTTGGCATTAATTATGTGCGTGTTTCTTCTTTCTTTACTAACTAAATGTTCAAAGGATGATTTGGTCGGAGCGACTAGAGAATTGCTGGTGATAAGCTTAAAATGGCAAGTTAAATTAAACGAATTAAAAACAAAAATACAACACGGTTTCACGTTTGTTTTGTTTTCTTTTTTTTGCGCACTTAACAAATGCAACAAGATTTAACAGCGGAGATGTGCAATTACACAAGCACCCATGTACATAATATCATCGTCTATGGAAAGGATGGCAATTGTTATTCTATCAAGGTCATGAGACGTAAATGGAAGTCTTTCTGACCGTTACGTATTTTGTGGGACAGCGTTAGAACTAGCCAAAATCGTGTTTGAAATGTATAATTTTTTAATAGAGTTCGTTAATTTCGGTATATAAACTTTTTCCTTTACTTTAAAAATTAGAAATTAATTGCCATCCTTCCTTGAACTAAAAAAAAAATAATAATATATGTTTATTGTTGCGTCTTTTCATTTTCGACTACTTTCTCGCAAAAGTTTAATTGGACGAATGACTAATGTGTGTGTATGAACCAGAGTTTTCATGGAACAGCAGCGTTGGAACAGTACGTGTCTTCGGAGGAGGAGGAAGAGGATTTGACTCTGTCGCCGGACGAGGGCTTCAGTCCACCAACGCCGAGTCCTTGCGACATGAGCCCGAACCACGTCAATCTGAGGTACGCCTGGAAGGATCCTCGTCTCCATCATCATCATCATTAGTTGTTCCGTTTCTTCCCTCGTATCTTTTTCGTCGACTCAAAAAAAAGAATAAATAAACAAGGAAACCACATAATATCCATATCATAATCACCGATCCTCTCAATCATCTCACAACGTCATCAAAACTATACACACTTTCCCCCTTTAACCCAATATAATATAATTATCTATATTATATATCGAGTAATATTTATAACGAAAAGGTGCAATATTCTTGCTTTCAAATTAATCGATCATTTGACATAGTTAATTAAATACTATTAAGTTTAAAATAATAGTAATCATACGTTGTTATTAATAATTATATTTATTATTGTATTTTTTTTTGTTTCTTCAAATCAAATCACCCTTGTTGTTATTGTAACGGTAATAATAACGATCATAATAATACTGTAACTTCCAATTTTCACTTTGTTTATATTATCATCTACTATAAATATAAAAAACAAAAAAATATATATAAATATATACATGTGAATCTTAGTTATAAGGAATAAATGATTTTTTTTTGTGTAATTAGGGCTACAAAACAATGTGATTTTATATATTCTGAGATTATGATGTGCAAAACGATGTTTATGTTTCTTTGGAGATGAAAAAAAAAAGGAAGAAAGAAAGAAAAGAAAACGAGAGTTAATACTTTAAATAAATTATTATTTACGTTACTAAACAGAAACAAATCGAAATCAAATGTTATTCAATGTTTTGTTACAATTATTCTACATTATATTTATATATACAAGCTCACAAACACAAGACATGCATTTTGCAGAGATCGTTATTAATTTGTGATCTAGCCCCCTACATCCCCCAGCTCGTGATTATCCTTCCTCTTGTGTTTTTGTTTCGTTTTTGATGACAAACGGCTTTGTGTTTTTTTTTTAATTGATTACGTTATGAATTGCTTTATTTAAATAAATTATACGCACTTCCTATTTTTTTTTTCTTCATTTCTTTTGCTTATTGCTCGTGATTTTCTAAATGGCATTTAGTGAAAGCGCTGTATTTGCTTTCTCGAAACCGACAGTTCCTTGTCTTCTCATAAAAAAATTATTGAGCGTGTACAGTTGGTTGCCTACGACTTCTACGTTCGCGCAAATTTACAAGAAATTCAAATTTAAAGATTATTAATTATTATTGAATCGTAATACTTATATTTGCATCATGATTGCAATAATAAGAATTCTACTTTTTTATGTTTATAAACATTAACATTTGTATTTAAATGATTAAATTTAAGAAAATTATACGTAAACATGATTGTAAGTAATAATATAATAGTGATCAGGAAATGAAACTGAAATTAATGCACTAGTATAAAATATTATATATTGTTGCAACGAGAATGGATACAAATGACTGCGAAGTTGCGCAATTGATGAAGAGCGAGAGGAGAAAACGTTAGGTAACCATGACGGAATTATAAGCTAAATTAGTTTCGTTTCCACAATGAAATGTATGCAACGCAACGAGAAATGCATCGATAATTATCGATAAGGTAAAATCGCGATTGGCTACTTCTCGGATCGTGGATGGTCGGAGAGAACAACCGTAACGTGCCGAGCGCTTTGGCGCAGTAGTTCCTTTACACCAGTAGTTCTAAATAACAATAATAAATATTTAATGTTAAAATATTAATCTGATTTTAATGATTATGTAATTAGAAAACTGAGGAATGGTAAAAGCTTCAAAATTAGTTTGTTTAATTAATATAATGCGATGTGTAAACTGTTGGTAATGATGAAACTGAAAGTAAATTAAATTGTTTATACACTGTTATAGATTTTGCAGCAAATTATGATATTCCTCTTTGATTTACGTTTAATAATGATAGTGATTTAGGTGAGTAGTTGAAAAGTTCGGAGAGAATGAACTACTCTTAGTTACTTTGGGTTTTCCATGTTGGCGAAACTTATAATTTTTTTATTTTGAATCGCAGCCGATTGTTTTAATTATTTAGCTGCATCCTTGATGGTTTTACTTTGTTGGAGCGAATTAATTACTGTCGTAAATTGCGAAAAAAATAAATATGTAATTGCTTAATTGTTGTTTATTTGGTTTTTAAGGATGGAAACTTTGCTGATGAATTGATGCGTTCGTGCAATAGATCATTCGAAACTTTGGTTCGATTCCATGTGCGACTAGATTTAAATGGTGGGCGTAACGTGCATGGTCGGAATGCGTGAGAATCGATTACCGAAGTAATTAAGTGGTATCGGTTCGGAAAAGGGTTTCTGCTGCTGCTGATGACTGCTACGTTTTGTGGCATTAGGTGAACGGTGTTTTCCCCCCGAGATCGTGGGGAAATTGACCGCCAAATTTGTTATTGTGTCACGTGACCAGAGGTCCGCTCTCGTCGTAGGCGCCAAAAACGTAAAAGCAAACCGGGGTAAATTAATTAAAAAGAGAGATTAATGCAATCGTCTTCGTTGTTGATCATTACGGATTGTTGATTGTCGTGTAAAATTTGGGATCTTTGAAGAGGAAAAGTTTCGGTATTGTCAGCGGCTGGTAGACATGTTGGTTTTTGTAGGAGAGGGATGGACGTAGGGGTAGGGATCGCGATTTGGACATTAAGAGTTTTACAATTTAGTAATTGATGGACGACGTCGTAAGCGACGCGGGACGGTCCTTGTGCTGGACGCAGGTCGGGGTCACGTTGATGCTGTCGGTCGTTGGTGCGGGGTCAACGGCGGTCTTTCTGGTGGGATGTGCGAGAGGGATGGAAGAATATTTAGTTGGTGCTTCTGTGTGCGGTGCGAATATGACGAGGTGGCGCCATCTGGACTGTCAATGTTGTTAGGCTTACCAAATGGAGTCTAATGGAGTCGATTTTATCAGAAAACATTGAAAAATCTTGAAAAAAACATGAAAATCCGCTCGAAAATGGTAATAATATTGACGAGGATTAAGTGGTGCTTTGTATAATGATACTGTGATACTTGCTGGAAGTGTGTGCACTGCGAATGCTGGATATGTTTACAGTATAGACATGGGAGACACCTTTACTGTTTGTCAAACTATTTTACAAGATTATCACCTATTAGGAGGAAATAATGGGCCCGAGATGCATGCATAATGATCGCCGAGCATGCTAAACGTTACTATGTATACCTTTTTTTGATAAGTGCAGCTCCCACAATAACCTATTAATGCACATAGCCATAGGCTAGTCACTCACTCTCTCACTACAGAGTAGTCTTTATTTTTTTTTTATTCCCCAGCCTGCTGCTAAACATTACTAATCAGATATACGTAGTTTAGTGCATCCACTTTTTAATGCCTTGGTAGTTACCCCCTGCACACTAAACCCAAAACAGACCTGCATTGGTGTTTTCCAAAAACATATCTCTACCTACTCTGTGTATTATGATGATGATCAGTGTAACTATGCAAGCATGTACCTCTATAGTCTATACTATTTATATATACCACTGTACTACAGATGTATGAGCTGTGAATGTAAGTGATTATGTGTGTGTGTGTGTGTGTGTGAGTGAGTGTGTTTGTATATTTAGTCTCCATATATAAATATAACCTAATTGATGTATTTGTTGTATTTGTTTCCAAACATGTATAGCTAATCGCAACTTCTTTTTGCACATATTTCAGAGGTAAACAACAACTTCATTTATCAACAGTGTTAAGGAGATAAATATGTAGTAAGCTCATCGACACCGCCTCATAAACATTGGTATCCTAATAATAAGCAATTCAATTTTAGGTTGTGCAGTAAAGTGTTATCAAACTTGCACTATTTTGTGCGATGTCCCAGAGAGTGAAACGGCCTAACCGTTCAGAAGATGGCTCGGTTCCTGTTAAAAGGCGTAAGGTTAGTGTTGTGTCGGTAAGTGCCACCCACTACTGCCTCATGTTATGCAGAATATCACCCAAAATTGTTGCTTTCAGCGACCAACGGCGGCGCAAGAGGAGGAAGAGGCGACCTCCTTGGCTTCCTGGAGGCCCATGAATGACCTCAAGATTTACAACCGCACAACAACAGAAGCACCAGCTGAGCTGTTCCGCAAAGATCTGATTAGTGCTATGAAGCTGCCTGACTCTGAGCCCCTGGCTGCAGACGAATACTGGGTGATAACTGATCAGTGGAAGCAGGAGTGGGAGCGAGGAGTCCAAGTGCCTGTCAATCCAGATTCTTTGCCTGAGCCCAGTGTTACGGTGACTCATTGTGCTCCAATTCACATCAAACCCATACAGGAGTTTAAACCGTGAGTGATTTTGTTTGAGAATCTATCTGTGTTGCTTAGTTATAGCTGTAGTTGGTAATTCAGGTACGCTAGAATTTGTTATTTAATATTTAATTTTACTTTTTTAAACTTTCTACATAAGTTTTATATTTTCATTTTGCAATATTTATTCCTTGATTTAGTTGATTTTCCATAGAGTTATTCTGAAACATTGTTTTATTTTATTTATTCGTATTATGGACGAATTTATTATTAACATTTACAAACTGTACAGCGTTTGTAAATATTAATAAAACATGAAAATAATTGAGAAATTTTGTAATGTTTTGGATATAAAAAAACATTTTTGGTGGATGGTTAGAAGTTTGACTGGATATATTTGTATAGCTTTTTGAATATTATGTTGTTTTCAATTATAGTATATGGAAATATACTTTACAATGTGTTTGTACGTGCGTATATTTTTAGGCCTAAAACAAAGTACATTCGGATAACGAAGGATGACAACTTTAAGCCGGAGGAGCACATGCTATCATCGGCACCGGCTCAGGCGGAGGCGGCGTGTTCGTACGATCTGGACGAGTGCGACGTTACGTGGCTGAAACTGGTGAATAGCGAGAGGCTCGCGTCTGGTCTGAGCCCCGTGACGGAGGACCAATTGGAACGGGTGATGGAACGGCTGGAGTTGCGGTGCTGGGACAAGATTCAAGCAATACTCAGGAACGAAGAAGGCTTAGGTATAGAATACGATGAGAATGTAATATGTGATGTGTGCCGGTCGCCGGACAGTGAAGAAGGCAACGAGATGGTCTTCTGCGACAGCTGCAACATCTGCGTTCATCAGGCATGTTACGGTATCACCCAAATCCCGGAAGGACAGTGGCTGTGTTGTACGTGCACGATATCCCAGAGACCGGACTGCGTTCTGTGTCCGAACAAGGGTGGCGCGATGAAGTGCACGCGATCGGGACAGAAGTGGGCGCACGTATCCTGTGCTCTCTGGATACCGGAGGTGAGCATAGGGTGTGTTGAGAAAATGGAACCAATCACGAAGATCTCCAGCATACCTCACAGCCGATGGGCGTTGATCTGTGTACTGTGTCGGGAGCGTGTCGGTGCGTGTATTCAGTGTTCGGTGAAGACGTGTAAGACTGCTTATCATGTGACGTGCGCATTCAAACATGGACTGGAGATGAGGGCGATCATAGAGGATGAGAATGCCGACGACGGTGTCAAGTTGCGTTCTTACTGCGAGAAACATTCAAAGTCCAGTAAAAAGGAGAAGAGTGTGTGCTCCGGATCCGACGACGACGACTGCAAGCGCAAAAAACGGAAAGACATGACATCCGAAGAGAAAAACCAGGCGAGAGCTGCCCGTCTGCAAGAGATCGAAGCGGAATTCTTTAAGCACGTAAGCTCGAAGGACATCGCTGTACACATCGATATCGACTCGGAGGCATTGCAATACATATACAATTATTGGAAGTTGAAGCGGAAAGCGGGACACAACAAGCCGCTGCTACCTCCGAAGTCTGAAGACGTGGATATGCTCTCACACAAGCAGGAGCAAGCGGATTTGGAGAAAATGAAGACATTTGTGCAGTTAAGGCAAGACTTGGAGCGTGTTCGGAACTTGTGCTATATGGTGAGCCGACGCGAGAAACTCTCACGATCATTCTTCAAAATGCGCGAGCAAACCTTTCACAAGCAGGTGGCTGTCTTGCAACAGGGTGGCAACTCTTTAGCTCCGACCGTTGTGGAAGCAGTCTTGGAGGCCAACCATGTCCCATCGATCTACGATAAGCTCTATTCGAACGATCCGGTCGAGGAATATAATGCCACTTTTGAAACGCTCCTGGCGAGGATAGCCGGCCTGAAGTCGCCGCCTCATGATTCTGGCGACGAAAAGAAACCGGAAGTCAATGGTATATTTAAGGACGTTAAAAACAACTCCTACAAGAAGTTCTTCATCAATGGATCTTCTAAGAAGAGAAGTAGTAGTAGCCTGTACGATTGTCTGTCTAGTGACAGCAGCCACGAAGAAAAACCAAAGGTTAATAAAGAGAACCTCTTCCACAGCAGCTCGGAAGACGAAAAACCATTTTCCAAGAAGAAAACGTCTCCGACGAAGAATAGCAAGTCTGCGGAGCGCCGAAAGAAACGCAACAGTATTACGAATCGCATCAAACTGGTTAGTAGCAGTGAGGATGACATTAAGCCGGTGAAAAAGGATCTTCAACTGTCGAGCTTAAAACAATTCGAAAAGGAGTTTGGCGTTTCTGGTAGTGATAGCGATGAATTGATGCCAATCAAGGCGGTCGAAAAGCCAGAGCGAAAGCACTTGGCCATCTACTCGGACAGCGACAGTTCCGATATTTCGATGCGAAATGATGACAAATCGTCGAACGCTGCCAGTGATTCACAATCCCAGAGCAAATTACGTACCAAAGCTGCCGTCAAAGAGTTCTCCAATAAACCTTCTACGTCTAAAAGTCCTAATAAAAGTAGTCCGGATAATAATAAGAAGAAAAGTAATAAGGAGATGCACTCAAAGAAAGACGTCAAAAAGAAGGACTTTGATCCGTCTGATCTCATCGTGCCCCAGAGGCAGGCTGCGAAGAAGGCATCCGAAAATCTTAAATCTAACACCGGAAATCGCGTGAGCAAAGAAACACCGATTATTGCTACGGCGCCGCCGCCGAGCGTGGAAGTCGAAAGCAAAGTTTCCAATGATAAGGATGAACAGGAGAGACCGTATAAGAACAAGGGTAAAGTGGGGAGGCCTCCGAAGGACGAGAAAAAAGAGGAAAAAGTTAAGGATACGACATCCAAGAAGGAATCCAAGAAAGAAGATGTTTTTGATATTGAGAAGGAAATTGATAAGAACGAACAAGATATTTTGGCTTACGTTCCACAACGACAGGCGGCTAAGAAAGCTGCTGAGCATATTAAAAGTGGCATGGGTAAACCGAACCCGGCCGAACAAGCACCTCCAGCTGCTTCCGAGGAGAAAACAAAGAAAGATCCTCTGGAGGAGAAGAAGAAAGAGATTTTCAAGAAGGAAGTCGAGGTTAAAAGTAAGGAACCACAAGAGATCATTAAACCTGCAAAGGTCGTCGAAAGCAAACGCAAATCTTCCTCGAACAGCAGCACGTCTTCCTCTTCCAGTTCTTCCAGCGATTCATCCAGTAGTTCGAGCTCTGACAGTGAGGACGAGAGTCCAGCCAAGAAGGAGCAATCGGAATGTTCCGTCTCTCCTCGTGAGCAGACGAAACGAACTGGAACCAAAGACTGGCCCTTTCTTGACAAGGCAGCCGAGTCCGCGGCATCATCCAGTTCATCCGATTCGAGCGATTCTAGCAGACCGCCCTCTCCTAAACGAAAAAGCGCCGAACAGAAAGAGCCCCCACGGCCTCCACCCAAGCAGCTTGCAAAACCGACGCAGCCTACAACCGTATCTACACCATCCCATAAGCCTGGTAGAAAAAGCTCAACAGAGAAAAAATCGATCGCTGCTATTGAAAGGGAAGAGCATTCCAGAGGACGAGGGAAAGCCAGATCATCGAGAGGAAGACCTCGATCAGTTGCCAATGTGGGTGATCGGATCAGAGATGTTGATGTTGGGTCTGGAGATATCGCTGAGCGTCAGGCCTCGCCTGAAAGAAATGCACCAATTTCCAATAACCAAAAATCCAGAAAGGGAAAATCAGATGAAATGGACACCATCAGCAGCGAGCCCAAAGAAAAGAGTAGATTCACCGCCGAAAAGTTATTCTCTCCGGTTAGGAAAACGGATAAGAAGTTGATGGAAGCTATCGAAGTGGATGCCATTGGCAATTTAGAGAAAGAAATTTTGGAACGCAAAGCTGCCAGCAACAAGACAAATAAATCCAAATTAAATAAACTATTCAGTTCGCCCGAAAGGAAATCCGATAAATCGAACAAGAATAGGTCATCTGAGAAGATGAACAGATCGCCGGACAAACTTAACAAATCAATAGAAAAACTAAATAAATCTATCAAATCCCCAGACAATATACATAGATCTCTTAACAAATCTCCGGACAAACGAAGTAGATCTTCGGAGAAACTTAATAAATCGTCCGAGAAACGGTGCAAATCTCCACTGGAAATATTAAAATCGCCAGAAAAATTGACAAAATCACCGGAAAAAGTATTAAGATCACCGGAAAAACTGTTGAAATCACCGGAAAAAATCCTAAAGTCGCCGGAGAAGAACATGAAATCGCCAGAGAAGCGATTGAAATCTCCAGAAAATATGATGAAATCGTCTGGAAAGGTTGAAAAGTTACCGGAGAAAATTTTGGCGAAGTCTCCGGAGAGGCTACCAGAGAAATTGCAGAAATCGCCGATCAAGGAGAATAAAGAGCTTAAAAAGAAATCCCCTAAAAGTAAAAGTAGATGCAGCATCGATGACATCTTCGCTAATAGAATCTCGAAAGCGAACCAGATTAAATCACCAGAACATACAATCAACAATCATAACGCATTTATGGAAGCTCCGAAAGAGGGTTGCAATAATATTAGCTTGGATAACATTTTCAAGCAAGATCAGGCGCTTGCGAATAAGGACGTTGAAATGGATATAAGTCCACTGAAAGTTCAATCGATCTTTTCGCCGAATCCGCACGACAAGGATTCCGAAATGCTGTCGGACTTTAACATCATGTTGGACGAAAACTTTGGCATCGTCAGTAGCAAAGACAAAGAGATCGAAAACGCGCCGCTGCGATTCAACGTGGTCAATTCCAGTCTGTTCAAAGAGGATTCTAAGGAGGACAGTGCGAGAGAAACGCTATTCCTTGTGGAAAAGCTGCGGCTTGGTTTGAGCAAAAAGTCAACTGGTTACGACGTGGACGATTCTGCCAGCGTGTCTTCAAGTACAAAGAACGAAGGTGATAGATTAGACTTTTCCGAGCAGATTGTTCCTAATCATGTGATCGAACCCATCGCGCCGAAAGATGAAAGCAATAAAGAGGTATCTCACGTGAATCTAGAGATGCGAATGGACGTGTCACATGTCGATAAATACGAGGAGGAGAAAGAGGATTACAATAAAATCATTAATAATTGCGAGGCGCAATTGAACATAGAAAAGAATGTGCCCGATGTGCAGCAGCAACACCTGAATACGATGGCCCAAGCTGATGAACGATGGGTACCACCCAGCGATAACTACCATCAAGCTGTTACGCAGCGTGTTGAAGAGCCGATGAGGGATATCATGCCATCATACATGCAGTCTTATGATGACCATAACGCAATGAGAACTGCACCACCGACAGAAGATCATCTGCTGAAGAGCGACTCGCCGAGTATCATGGACAGAAGGGTAACTCAAACACCGTTCCTGGATCCAGCGTCGATGGATTGCATGCCGAGTCCTAGTCCTTACGGTGATATGCATCCGCAAGCTAAGTGGAACGAAAGCCAGATGATGCCGCAACGGCGATCCTCCTCGAGCTCCGCTGCTTCCACGGTCAGTAACACCTCTCGCCGCAACAATACCGAAGACGATATGTTGAAACGACCACCTGCACTTATGATGCCGCACTCCGGCATGGATGGAATGTCCTTCAATATACTGCCGTATCCGCCGAACTCATTGGACACGTTCTCCCAATTCCCAGAATCATCGCAATTCGTCAGTACTCCGGTCAGCCTGCTTCCCGCCTCCAATATTAATGCTCAAATCCCATTTCCCTCTCCAGGTGCGGGCATGTTTCCTCCAACATACGGAGCCTCATTTCCGACATCTCATTCTGTGATACCTCCCCTGCCCAAACCCAACGTCGAGGCGATCCATTTCACGCCGGCCGCGTTTACTACGTCTCAACGTAACATGGAATTGACGGCGTCGATGCTCAACTTCGCCACTCCCAAAGAAACGGAGCAACTACAACACCAACAACAGCAGCAGCAGCAGCAGCAAGAGATGCATCTACCAACTCCATCGCAGCAACTGCATCCACCGATTCAATCGCAACAAATACAGCAGCATCAACTGCAACCTCAAATACTACATCAAGAACAAGATCAACAGCTGCATATGGATCAACATCAACCTCGGCAAGAACAGATGCAGCCAGTGGAAGACGAGCTACCGAAGCAGCAACAGCAACAACAAGAATTACAAATACAGCCATTGCAAGTGCCGATAGAGGTAGCAGCTCCGCCACCACCTCCGGCAACGGTGGAAGAAGTTTTGCCTGCTCCAGCTTTGAGTAACTTGACACCGAACCACGTAGAACCTTCACCGAATCCGTCCGTTAAGTCTAACAGTTCAGTGGGTAAGAAGTCTCCCAGCAAGCCAACTCGGACGTCGGCCAGATTCAGTTCGCAGCAAAGCAAATCACCGAGCAAGAGTCCGGCGAAGAGTCCGCGACAGCAGGAGGTTAAGCAGCATAGCACTGGTCGTGGACGCGAGAACAAGAGAACGAACAACAAGTCCTCCTCGGGTCGTGGAAACCAATCGCAGTCGCGCGGAAGAGGACGTGGGCGAGGTAGAGGTCGAGCGGCAGCACATCATCATCATCATGACTTCAATTACTCGAACACGAGCACGATCCACAACAAGCTCGTCGGGACCGTTTACGATTTCGACTTCGAGGATGAGATGCCTAACGAGATGGGCGATCTGCGGACGATGAGGGAGCGTCGAAAGTCTGCGGACGTGCATGACAAGAAGTCGGCAGAGCTGATGATCTCTAGGGATTCGTCGGAATCACCGAAATTCACGAGTCCGAGCAGCAGTAGCAGCAAAACGCGTTCTTACACTACGACCGATCTCAGCGAGTTGAGGCCACCGACGCCCATCATCGAAGACAATTCCAAGCAGCCGAGCCCGGAACCGCCCGTCGAAGAGCACAAAACATTCCCTAGCATAGTGCAACCAGTATTACCCGGACCCGTAGATATGCGAACGTATAGCAGCACCTTCGACACGCCTCAGTTCAACGAGACCAACATGCTGGGCGCTTTCGGATCCGGGACGGCCGAGCAGCCCGAACACGAGGATATCGATGAGTTGTTCGAGAAGGAGTTCCAGAAAGATCTCACCGCCAGCTTGAAGAAACCAGAGGAACCACAAATGCCAGAAGTTTCGAACATCAAAGTGTCCTTGTCGGATTCACGAAATCAGCTGAAGGTGAAAATTAAGGGTCCCATCGCGAATTACACGTCGACGCCGTTGCCACCAGTTAGCAGTGATATGTTGACGCCAATGGTGCCGCCAATCACCGTTTCGAACAACGCGATTTGCAACATGAACGCTAATTCTGGCACGACTAATTTGCGACGGATGCGCAAGAAGGAGTTGCTGCGACAGTACTGCTCCCAAGAGAGGAACACTGACGATGGAGCTGGAGGATACAGGGCGACGCCCGTGCAGCCCTCGCTGAATCGTACCATCATCACGATTCCCAAGGCAGTCGCTTCCATGACCAGCATTCCGACAAAGGAAGACTACAGGGATTACAGGACAAGTTCCGATGATATCTTCGAGACGAAACCGAGGAAGGAGAAACCTGCCAGGCCAGGACTGTCCAGGGAGCTGCGCCAGCTGGAAATCACATCTCTGCTCGACGATGAAAATTCGATGGAGAGGCGGAGAAGTATCGGTTCGAACAACAGCGGCATCAACGACAGCAACAAGAGGAGGGGACGACCACCGCGACCCTCGCAGACGACTCCCAAATTGAAGATCAAGATCAGCGGGAATAGTATCGTCGGTGGTAGCAAGGTGGACGACAAGAAGGACAGGATTCGACCGCCAAAGAAACGACTTTCGGCGGCGGCTGCGAAGCCTAGCGTCGAAGACCTGAAACGTGAAAGCATGAAGTTCCGGAAGAAGGTGATGGCCGACTTCGGTGAGGAGAAGAAGGAGAAGAAAAAGAAAGACAAGAGCAATAAAAAGAGCAAGAAGAAGAAAAAGCAGGAAGTACAAATTATCGCGAACTCCGGATCGAGTGCGCCGAAGTTGATAATCCGTTTCGGTAAAAAGACGGACTCGGATCGAACTAGCAGTGTGGACGTGTCTGCGGATCAGCAGTGCAACAGCGAGATTATAAACAAGGATGTGGACGGTGTTAGCAATAAAGATAGTGAAAGGACAGAAGGTGTTAACAAAGTGACTCCGATTAAGTTGAAGTTGTCTAGGTGCCAGGAGGGATCGGGCTACGTGATGAAGACTCCGCCCATCGATGTGCAGAAAGCTCCGCCCTCATTTACGCCCAACGCGACGACCAACACCAACACCACCACAACTACGACTGCTACCGTGAATCTCTCGGAGGCGCCGCCGCTGCCGTCGCTTCCTGTCCACAAGGCCGCGCCCCCCCTGCCCATCAACAAGGACTGCGAAGTTAGATGATAATGTGTACTATATTTAGAACTGAAATATTATTGTGTAAATACAACATCTTTTTTTTTTATATAACTAATTATTATTTTAATTTTAGGTGGAAGTGAACTCTCTCTCTATCTCTATCCTCTTCTTTATGTACAGTAACTATTTTCTCCCACCTGTTTTAGCTCCACTTACCTTCCACATCTCGTTGAGAAATTACCTGTACATATATAAATGTTCATATATAATATATATATATATATGTACACGTGTGTTAAATATCAATTGAATGAAAAAGAAAAGTATTGGAGAAAGAGAGCATAGTAAAGCGGAAACTTTAGCTATGTTATATATATATATATATACATAAAACAAAGGATTATATATGTATATTATATATTAATTATTGTAGTATATTCATGTGCATGTCTTTGATTTCGTTGTACAAAAAGTCAATTACATTCACAAGATTATGTATTCATATTTTTGTACATACTGTAAGTTATATAATTATTATTATTATTACATACATACATATATATATATATACTATATATTATTGACAAATGATTATGATGGTGAAAAAAGCAAGAAGAAGAAGATAGTAATTTATAAATATATATTATATATATATATATATATATTCATTTCATTTGAAAAATGATTAACTCAAGTGTTGACAATTTTTGATAGCTAGGAATCGTTATTAGAGTTTCATCGGAAAACAAAAGAAAAATATAAGAAGCGAAGAAAGAAGGAATCAAGTAAACTATGTAATTGAAACTGATCGAACGGAGGAAAAGAAAACGGAGAAAAGATTTGTACAGAACAAATGGCTTGCGTGAGTGCAATTTATTAATTTATTATTTCCTTTTCCTTTTTTTTTAATTTTTTTTTTCTCTCTCTTAATTAAATAATTTGTGTTGTTGTGAAAGCCATTGAGATTTTTTATTACTATTATTATTAATATTATTTTTGTACAAATTGTTTTTTTTTTAATGATTATTATTATTATTGTAATTTAACTTTATTGCGAGTATTTTTTTAACGTGTAATTATTTTTGTACGTGCGCGCGCGAGAGAGAGAGAGAGGATAGATGAAGAAGAAGAAGAGAAAAAAAAAACAAACAAACAAACGGAAAGATGATTTTCTTTACTTAAACAAAAGAAAGTGAACGAAGAAACGCAAAATATTATTATATATTTCTTAAGATATTTTATTTTTATACCTGTTTTTTTTTTATATATATTATGATGAATAATAGAAATTCAATTGATGTTCCGATTTGTTTACCAATTTTTATTGTCTTTAAATTATTATTTTCTATAATTTTCTTTTTTTATTTTGTGTGTGTGTATGTGCGTGCGTGCGTGTGTGTGTTTTCTTGTCTTGACGATGTTGAGGAGCGGATGCAGAGGTGGCCGGTATCTGGAAGAGAAGAGATCAATGCAACAACACAAAGCCATTTGTCTGTTGTGCAAGATTTCGAAACGAATTAAAACTTATTGAATGCAGTAAAGTGGATAAGACTTACTACACTTAAAATGATGTTACGAAACGGAAAATCTATTTCGTTCTTTTTTCTACTTTACACACACACATATATATATATTTATTTATTTGTGTATATATATATATTGTTTTGTAAATGAAATTTCCTCCATTAATTCATTTGTTTATTTTTTGTTTTCGTAACAGCCCATCCGATTCTGAACACGCAAGAGTAAGAAATCAAGTGGAAGAGAAAAAAAAGCAATTACAAAAGTTTCTATTATTTGCATTTCTGTTACAATTCGAACTCTCATCTCTCTCTCATCCTTCTTCCTTGTACAGCACTTTTTAATTATTGTACATTGTGTCTTTTTTTTTTGTTTGTTTTTTTTTTATTATTCTCAACAACAAGAAGAAAAACAGGACTGTAAAGTTGTATGTGTATATACTATATATATAAAAAAAAAAGTTTACATCAGAGATAAATTATGATTTTTTTTATATAAAGAAAAATGAAAATTTAAACAAAATCTCGTTTTCGTTTCAAACCCGATATACCGAATTTATCCAGTTGTTTCCATCGCGCTATCTAATCTTTGGATACTCAACGGATTACCAATGCAATTTATTTATAATTAATATAATTGTAAGATATCATGTTTTGATATTAAGTTCCTGGTGGGTTTAACACATATCAATTTGTTAATAAACGTTCACATTTAAGAATTAATTGAATCTAATTATATTTTAAGTGGAAGGTAAGTTAGTAAGTATTTTGCGACTTCGATAACATTGGACGTTTAATTAAAGAATATAGTGCAAATAAGAAATTTGAATTGGCAAATTATTTGAAAATTCTCGATCAAGTGAGATAAGATAATCCTTATATAAGTTTTGTTTGTTTACACCGTTCTTTTTTTTCTTCAATTATTATTATTTTCAGTGTAATTATCGAAGGTGGTTGTTGGCGTCGTCGTGCTTCAATTATTTGCGCACATTTAAAATTTTTGGTGAAGAGCAGCGCCGCGTGTTCGAGTTTCGAGTGTGTGTGGATATTGGAAATATCAATACCGGCAGTTTGCGAGTGGGGAAGAAGGCATTTCGAGGGGGCTCTGGCGATATGCGCGAGTCGAGCGTCGCGACGCCGTCGCCGTCGTGTCCTCTCTGTGGGTGTTTGCAATCAATAGGTGGAAATAGTTTGGGGTGTCGTGAGCAGCGGAGTCGGTGAAGAGACGAACTGATACGTTTTGGACGTATTTCTTGCGGAGAGTGAATGAAAGATCATCGACGACTCGATTCGCGTCATCCTCGTCAAGATGCAGCCGCCTCCTAGGAAGGTAAACTCAAACGCAACTCTAGATTTAAACAGAAAGAAAAATTTTTTTTTTGGTTTTCATCTCTACAGGGAAATTACGCGAAGTTTTTGAAGAATCTGCACCAGGAACAAATTGCCAAACTGCTTGCGAAGAATCAGCACGAGTGCGATCTGCTCGAAGACATCCGCACGTTCATCATCAAAAGATGCGCCATCGAGAGGTCCTACTCGGACGTAAGCTGAGCGCTTCTTTTTTTTTTTGTCCATTTTGACGTTTTAAATAATGCATATCGATTGTTATATTATATCGCAGGCCCTGCTCAAGATTTCTTCCGCTTATCTGAACAAGAAAATACCAAATATTCCGGACATCAAGTTAGATGGAGGAGACGAGAAATGGTAATTGCTGTGATATTTCATTTTCTTTTTTTTTATAGAAACTTATCGAGTTTGCTAACGTTTCAGGAATATGTGGAACGTTTGGCGAACCGTGCTCGAGGAGAACGAGAAGTTGGCTAGGGCAAGGCTGGCCGCCGTCGAAGTGTTCCAGCAGCAAATCGCCGAAGAGTCTAAAGTCCTGAGGTCACACAAATTGGCTGCCGCAAGAAGAGTAAGTCATTGGGTGTAATTAAATAAGCTGTAGTAAAATTATATAATACAACGTCAGAATTTGACGTTGTCAGAAGATTTGTTTTAAATTCCATTTTGATAACTTGATCATTTTTCTCAGTACTCAATGCTTTCTTGATTTATCATTTAGTTTAAGCTACTTATTATTGTTAATTCTTAAAATAGAAATGCATTTGTAATATATTTAAATTTTAAGTCAAACTTTGGTTTAAATGTAACAAAGAATTTTGTTTCAGTACTAGTTATATAAATAGTCTGTATTTGTAATGAAAGAAAAAAAAAAGCGGATAGAATGCAGTTTCTGTTATAGTTTTCGTTTCTTCCAGTGCGTTGAGCAGCTATCAATGGTCCATAAAGAATTGCAGCTGAGCGTCCAGGATGTGGATAAAACAAAGAAGTTGTACTTCGATGAGGAGCATTGCGCGCACGACGTTCGCGACAAAGCCAGGGACATTGAGGAGAAGTGAGCCGTCACAAAAGTTCTTTTCTTTTTTTTCTTATTTCACGACCATTAAATGCAACCCTTATCATCCACTTCCTCATCTTTTTCTTCTTTTCGTGTTGCAGGTTGAAAAAGAAAAAAGGTTCGTTCTTTCAATCGATCACGTCTCTGCAGAAGAACAGCGCCAAGTTCTCCTCCAAAAGAGAGCAGCTCGAGGAGAAATCGGCCGGTGCGAGAAACGATTATCTCCTATGCTTGGCAGCAGCAAACGCTCATCAGAATCGCTATTTCGTCGTCGATCTGCAGCTGGCGATGACGACGATGGAGAGCAACGTGTTCGATAAGGTGGCAGAGTTTCTGACTCTGATGGGACGCACCGAATTGCTGACGTGCTCCGCAATGCAGAATTCCTTCTCGACGATCAGGGATCAGGCCAAACAACTGACGAGGGAATACAATTTGCAGTGCATCTACCTGTACTATCCGGTGCTGAAGCAGCACATCCAGTACGATTACGAGCCGTGCGACAATGATCCAGTTGAGTTGATCACTGCCGAGCACGACGCTGCAGCCGCGACTCTCAGCAAGGAAGCCCGAAGATGGGCCACGAAGATTGCGAGGGAAAACAATAATGTGCGAGATTGCGTGAGAAAGTTGCAGATTTACAACGCTCTTCGAGAGTCTGGCCAAAGGGTAAGGAAAATCAATTGAACAATCGGTGTACTTCGAACGTGCACTATAAAATAATCAATGAATTGCGTTGTTTTTTGTAGGTGGATCCGAACGATCAGAACGGCCCCGATCTGGAAACTAAGATTGAGGATATGAAGCAGAGTATTCGCAGGTCGGAGACTTCAAAGATGAAGGCCGAAGCGAGGATAGAGTATTTGCGGGCTGGAGGCGTTAACGTGGACGAGTGGCTTCAAGAAGCGGAAACGCTGAATGTGCAAGACATCCAGAGGTCAGCAAGTTCCTTATCCGTAAGTTTATTTGTAGAAACGAAACGAATCTCATACTTTTCACGTTCCATTAAACTTTTCTATTTAGGATCACCCCAGTTCGGATTCGTTCTACGACAGCGATTTTGCCGATGGCGAGCCGAGCGTTCCTCCGACGATCGACGTTAAAATCGAGAAGGATTTCGATGAGAGGACCATCGACGACGAAGAAGAATCTCAAGAGGTCGACGGTGAGTGGGGTAGGCAACGAACTCATTCTCGCACACAGTGTTCAGCATGACGATCGTTGCACTTCATCACACAAAATCCCATCTTTGTTTGTTAGCTTCCTTATTTTAATTATGATATTAATGTCAATTAATTGGGTCACTTGTAGGAGAGATAGCAATACCGTATATTGTTTCTGTTAATTTATGATCTTGTGATAAAGACATTTTGACCGGTATTGTTATCTTAGGTCATTGGAATGCGTTCGCAATTAGACTGCTCTGTTTCAGCTATTCTGGAGCAGGAGAGACAAAGGATCGAGCAACTGACTGCGGGTTGGGATGATCCGACGCAAGTGGATTGGGGCAACGAGGATGCTGATGCTTCTGATGGGATGCAAATGGAAACTATCTCTTCAGCTACGAGTCTAAAATGCACAGCTCTATATTCCTACACGGCTCAGAATCCTGACGAGCTGACGATCGTGGAGAATGAGCAACTGGAGGTTGTTGGAGAGGGCGACGGAGATGGTTGGTTGAAAGCTCGAAACTATAGAGGCGAGGAAGGCTACGTTCCACACAACTATTTGGACGTCGAAAGGGAGCAATCTGCGACGACGCCCGGACTAGTGACCCAAATCTCATTTTCATCTGTTGATTACACGATCGACAACGAAGATGAAACCACTCAGAACACGGACACTGCGAACCAATCACCGGATCAGGTGTCCGTGATCGCAGCTCCTGCTCTCACCTCGGAACCATCCGAGGACCATTTCCAGGGCAGGGTGGAATACTGTTGCGCTCTGTACGATTACGACGGTGAAGGTGCCGAAGAGTTGAGCTTCGAGGAAGGCCAGGTTATAAGGATAGTCAGCAAATGTGCACACAGCATCGACGATGGATGGTGGAAGGGCGAGCTGGATGGAATCATTGGTAACTTCCCGTCGCTGGTCGTCGAAGAGTGCGATGAATACGGAGAGCCTTTATCCAATTTGGAAGATCTGACTCCACCTTGTTCGGCTCCGCCCGTCTTCACGCCCCCCGACGTTCCAGAATTCTTAATTGCAAGCGACATTATAATAACCGATGCCACACCCATGTTTGATGGACCACCCTCCAGCGAGCCACCGAAAATGGAACCGCCAAAGCCGCCACCGCAGGCCTTCTCAAAGTTTTCCATGGAATTAACGAGAAATCAACACGATCACTATGGATCCCAATTTGACGACGAGGACGAAACCGGTACACCAAGTAAGATTTGCTCGTATTGTGTTTGTCGAAATCTGTGTATTAATTCAATTTGTTTACGCTTAGCTGTTGATGTTCCAAGCGTTGTAATTGCAGACGAGGTGGGTGCTTAATCGTTAAAAAAAAATTTGCTTAGTCACATCGCGTAATGGATGATTACGTTTCTTTAATTCGTTTTATTCGTGCAGTGTGGACAAGAAGTGGTTGAAGGAAGACCAACGCACCAACAGGTCGAAGATGATTTAGGTTTGGGTGTAGCCCAGATCGTGATAACGGCGGCCACGCCCATGATCGAGGAACCGGAGCAGCCGTTCCCTCCCCCAGAACCGGAACCTGAAACAGCGCCCGAGACCAACCACCAGCAACCGGAAGGCCCAGAAGAGTTGGCCGCGGTTATCGAGGAAGAAGAAGAGGAGGAAGAAGAAGAACCGGAGCCCGATGAGGATAAGAGGACGATGAGCGTTGATCTGGAGCAGGACCAACCGACAGACTCCGCCCCATTTCCTATAAGCAGCAGCAGCGACGGCGACACGACGGGTCCGAGCACAGCCGAGAATTCGGTGAGCCACGCCCCACCGCAGCCGCAGGAGGAGCCCAAACAGGTCGTGGGCGGCAGGGCGAGCATCCCCGACGAACTCGAACCCCATCAGCTGGCTCGACTCCAAGATCTGAAGGAATCCAACGCGTAGACTACAAATTCGATTTAATTTTCAAAGAGAAACATGCAAACAAACAAACAGACAAAGAAAAAGAGAACAGAGAAATTATGCAGAAATGTAAGTAAACTCATTTTCTTTTCGAAAAAGGATAACAGAGAAAAAAATACGACATTTCGCTGCTGTCTTTGTATATATATATATATTATGTATACATTCCAAACTCTCTAACTCGGCTTGTTTTCGTTGTTCTTAAAGTACCATGGAAACAATTTGCTGTATCTCCTCTATCTCTCTATAACTATCTAAACTCTCTATACTAATCCACGACCAAAAGCGCACAATGATTCGGTTTTTTGTTCTTTCGGTCATACTCATCGGTTGATGAAATCCAATCAACTCATTTGGAAACACTTACTTGGAACGATACGAACCACGGATGAAATGACGGATATGGCTTAACAATGTAGATCATTGTCAATTACTATTATTGGATTTACATTAAGGGGGTTGGGACAATAACGTTAATTTCGATTAGTTTGCATCCAGTTTACAGCGATCCCTCGACCTACAAACGTTGGGAATCTTATATATATATTCAATTCAATTCAATCGAATCGGTCAACACAAATGTAAATGTTTTAAAACAGAAGATTAGTTAGACTGACCATAGTATTATTCAATTGTAAGAAGTGTATCTTTTGTTATTTTAAGAAAATATTAGATTTCTCGCTTGTTTCAATTTGCGATTTTCAATTCAACAAACATTTATAGATCTAGGGACCGCTTCTGTAATATTTGTTTTTTTATATATATATAGAATTTAGTATGTGATCTACACCTACACTCAATGCAATAAATAGCAGTCAAGTATATAATATTAAAGGATAATCACTAAAATCTAAGAATAAACCAAAGATGTTATGGATTTGTTTATCTGTTGTGTAGCAATAAGGATGGATCTCTTTATACATATACATATTATATATAAGACAAGGAAAACTACAAATGATTGTATTTATATATATAATTATTGGTTTTTTTTTTTGTTTCTTCATTCTTTTATGGAATTGTTTGTATATAAGAACGTTGTTAGAATATTTCTTAATTTTACTTTCGTCGAGTAGTGTGTAAAGTTTTTGTGTTAATGTTGATTGTTACAATTTATGAAATAAGAAATCTATTGAGCAAAAGTAATAGGAATGAAGATGAACGACGAACGACAGTCGAGCCGTCGATGCATTTAAGTATAAATTGCGCAAGTTACGCAAGTTCTTCGTTTGTTTCCAATGGTGATTTTGTGTGGTATTTATACTTTTATGACGTCCCATCAAATCGCGCGCTCCGTTCTTTAAAACTTCTACATCTATATATCTCTCTCTCTATCCTATATGCTTTCGTTTACTAAATATTTAACATCTCGTTTCGTTTTCAATTCGTTTCGTTTTAGTTGATCTCTGAACATTGTAAGTAGTAGCTAAACTCTGTGCAATGATATTTAAGTAATGACATAATATATATGTATATTTGAAAGTCCTTCCTCTTCCCCGTCTTCTTTCAGCGGTGCCTTCTTATTATAAACAAATGAAAATGATGATTAATGTGAAACATGACGACAACAACAACAACAATCATCATCAACAATAACAAATATAAAAGATGAGAAAACCAATGTCACACGATGATATATCCCCTCTAGATATATAAATATATTTATTGCCCGGCTCCATTATCATTTCAATGTGTACCAGTGCATACATATACATATATATATTATTAAATAAAGAAATTTATGTAGCATACATCATGTAAACTCATGTAATCAAAATCCCGTCTTCTGGCTTATTCCGCTAGACTGCACCGCTAAAATCAAACATCGTCAATTATCATCCTCCTCTTATCTACTAATAATAATAATAATACACTAAATAGTTAATTAATTATTATTTTATTAAATTTTTATTGATAAATGCAATACAATTATTGAGTAGTTTGCACATGAAACTCCTCCCATCATGTTTAAACCACGCCCTCCTTAGTTACGCAAATTTTGCTATTTGTATTTTTAGTTATTAGACGCATTTCACGTTTGTTTTTGAATAATCATTAATTTATTCATGAAAGTAGAGAATTTACTTATTGTTACTTAACTAATTGTAAACAATAAAATCTTGATTTGAGATGCTACTGATATTTTAATTCCAATTGATCAAGTGGTTACGTCATAGCAACAAACAACAACACCCCCCCGATTAATTGAAGCCGCCCACTTCTCGGTCGCGCCCCACATAACATTCATGAATGAACATGCTATATTTACATTCGAGGTTCGTTCGTGAGGTTTATTTAGTTTTTTTTCTCTTTTCTATTGGTGTAGTCGGTTCTATGCTGAAAGGACGATGCGTGTATAGATATCGATTAAATGGAATCAGTGATTCGCGAACGCCTTTAATCGTCGGCATGGTAATGAGTGGCCTCTGGAGCGTGAGGACCCCTGCCTCGTCTCTGTTTGCCATCAGTAGTTCTTTGGCCATGTCGCAGGACGATTCCAGCCCGAAGGATTCTCAGTCCGAATCCTCGAACAGTTCGCCGAATGCAGTCTACATGTTGCGCAGCGAGAAAGAGGTGAACGATCTGATACTCTTCGGAGCCTCTTCCACCAGACATCATAGGTCGGCGACGGTAAGAAGGGCATCGCTGAAGAACAAGGAGGGATCTTTCGCCCGAAGCCAGGATGATCTTAACGTGCCGGTGGTCATCAATCCGGAGAGGTACAGGAGGTCTCTGGACAGCACGTATCGGCAGAGTTTGGAGTCGATTTCGGAGTACAAGACAAAGAAATCGTTCTCGTCGACGGCTTCCTTAGGATACAAGGAATCCATAGATTCGACCTGTTCAGATTGCACGGATTACGCTACAAGAAGCAGTTCCGATCTTAAGGATGATTACAAGGCCTTCCCATCACCCTGTTCAGCAACGTACTTAAGTTGGATCGAAAGTCTGAACAACGAGCATTTCGCCAATCAATCGGCGATCTCTGAAGTCGTCGACGTCGACAGCAAAGTCGGAGAATGGAACAACTTCTGGTTGAACTACAACAATCCAAACAACAGATACCTGTCCTCGCCCTACCTCTGCACTTCGAACGAAGACAAGACCGGCGACGATATCTCGGATTGCAAGAGCACTTGCAGCACCCAGCGCGAGTTCAACGAGAAGCTGTCCAGCGAACACATCATCCTCACGTTGGAGGAGGTCCAGGAGGCGTTGCATTGCTCGCAGAAGATCGTCGACATCCTGCAAAGAGCAATGAAGAGAACCGACAACGATACGGACCTCTTCGTCGAGAGGAGCAGACAGGATTCCTACTACTCCCAACAAACAGTGAGTATTCCTAAAATCGATAAAACTTGGATATTTAATTATAACTACTGATGCTTCAGAACTCGTTCGATGACCGCTCGTTCTCCTTCGCCGTTGATCCTCAGGAGCTGCAGAAGCAGAAGAATCTGCTGAAGCCGCCCGCTCCACCGCAACCGCCGACCAACAGCTGCATCAACGTGCTGTTCAATTCGGGGGTGGCGGACATCCTGAAAAGGGTCATCAATAAGAGGCGCGAGGTTTTAGCACCCGAAGAGGTCGCCTCCACCGCTCGCAGCAGCTTCTCCGAGTGGACGTCCGGCGCTAAATAATATTTAATCAATCGCTTCACGGCAACTCTCCAAAAACTAAAAAGAAGCACAGCATAAAGTGTTCACATCGTAATCATTTCAATTTCTTGTGTTTCCTCTTCTGTATATATACATATATATTTTACAAAGTTAATCAACCCGCAAATCATAAATGTGTTATTTTGATGAAAAGTCCATAATATTTAATATCTAGACAGCTAATTGTATATACATTAAAGCTAATTGAACGATCATCAAATATTCATTAATTCCCACCATTTAAAATGCACGCTGCTTTTGAAATTTGAATTTCGCGCGTTCCCCCCACGTACATTGTCAATGTAAAATGTCAAGGTCGAACGTTTTGACGTTTGTCAAACACGTTTAATTTGAGCTCCAGAAAATTTGCTCTGGCTACATTCGATTCGATTTTCAGGGAAATTCTGTATGGGAAAATCGTCTAAACGCATTGGACGTTTTCCACGCACGATTTCGCACACATTTCCTGGATCCGCTCGCACCGATCATCACAATTATTTTTTTTTCCAACTAGCGAAAATCTGGAGTGGTTCTGATTCTAATTAGAAAGCAGTTAGTTTTTCAGTGGTAGCACTGACGTTTCAGTGGACGTTGACAATACTGCTGCAACCAGAACTCCATTAAGCAGAAGAAGAAAAGAAAAAAAAAACAGTTTTGCTGAGAAGAGTAAAGTTGTAATAGTTGTAATAAATAAAAAGAAAAATTATACAGATATAAATGGTGCGGGAATAACATCGTGTGTGTGTGTCTTCCCTATTATTATATGGGAATTACATTGGAATAGAAACGACCAACGTCCAGCAAAACACACGGAACATAAAGGTGAGTTTACCTACTTTTCCGTCATTCACCTGTTGAGGTTAATTGGATTTCAGGTTAACAAAGTTAATAAGATGGCCACAACTGAACAATTCTCACTTCGGTGGAACAACTTCCATTCGAACCTCACCACAGGTTTCCATGATCTGCTCGAGGCAGCTGACATGGTCGATGTAACCCTGGCAGTGGAAGGTCAATTTCTGCAGGCCCACAAGATAGTCCTCTCCATATGCAGTCCATACTTTAAGCAAATGTTCAAAATAAATCCCTGCCAGCATCCAATTGTCATACTTAAGGACATCACACACGACAACTTGAAGGATATCCTGGAGTTCATGTATTTGGGGGAAGTGAATGTGATGAGGGAGAATTTGCCTTCATTTCTCAGGACTGCTGAACTGTTGCAGGTCAAAGGTCTGACTGGGGATGATTCTGTAAGTATCAAGATGCAATTGAAAAATAAATATTTAATTTGTATACAATATTATATTTTCTTTTTTAGCAAAGTGAGTCTTCCTCAAAGCGAGAGGAGAAGGCAGCCCTCACTGATGATGAACCAGAGTATAACCAGCTGATTGAATCTGATGGTGTGAATTTCACCTCTTCACCAAAGCCATCGACCAAGAGGCAGAGGAGCCCCATGTACACGCCGACGCTGAAGAAATCTAAATCCGATAGTAAATCTGTGAAGGAAAATTGCAATGAGAATGAACGGCACGAACTTTTACCAAATATTAAGAGTGAAATGTCCTTGGAGTGCGAAGACAAAGACCAAATGAATAAGTTGTATCCCGAAGGTGTGTTCAACGCTGACGCGAATCCACACGAGAATGGTGAGTGTTTTTTTGCCGGAACTGTTCATCTTGCAATGCTTCTTATTGCTTTGAATCCTTTGGCTTATTTTAAAACCGTTTTATATTTTTAATTTATTCACATAAATAGTACTTAAAACTATACGCTTTTATTGATGCTCGACCAAATCGAAATACAATTTATTGAATACTTAATTCTTATACGAAAATCGGCTGCACTTCATGCTATAATTTCTCTATGTGAGAATTGGAAGAAAAAAAAACAAGTAAATTTAATGATTCTTTATTGAACTGCAGATAAATCTAAAACATGTTGTTAATATTTAGTAAAAGTAAATTGTTTAAAAAATAAAGTATAGTATTGAAAGTATATTGATTGGATGAGCATTGATATATGTAATATGGGTTCTTCTGTTATTTAATATTAAGCTTTCTTTCCCTGAAAATTTACTACAGAATTTCGTACTTGGTGAATATGTTAAACAATGATTTGCGATTATCTTTTGTATTATATTTATTTGCATTTTAATATTATTTATTATATTTTGCATTTGTTTGATGAGAAAGATGCGAATTTCTCGACGTGTGTGTAAATGCTTGTAGTTTTTTTCTTTTTGCATTTTTGCATGGTAAGTAGTAACATCCAATAATCTTAACATTTTTTTTTGTCTCTCCTTTCTGTTTTTCGTTTTGTTCTGGGGGTATGGACGTATGGATCCACCCCACAATGAAACCGACTATTTCCAGCTAGATGCGATGCTTGTGGTAAATGGATGCGAAAGAGTAGCATCCGAAGGCACAAGCTGGACGTGCATCTGCCCACGCAGCAACTTCCCTGCGACCTCTGCCACAAGCTCTTCAAAACACCTAACAGCCTAACGACGCACCTCATCACCATTCACAAGCAGTTCAAGTCGAACAAAAAGGTTCGAACGAAAAGCACGGAGCTCTTGTATGGTGGATGCTGATAATTAGAGATAGAGAGAGCGAGAGAAATACTAATCCGTTCCTAACTGGAGTGACTTCTTCCTCGATGTTTGCAGTTTTCGGAATGGATTAATACATAATAACCGATCATTTCGAATGAGTTTGCGGCGAAATGTGCATGAGTTTCCCTTGTTTAACACACATACATTTATGCAAAAGCTGACGTAGAAAACGAATGATGTTTGGACGTTTAGGCAAGTCGGTGGTTCTGAACAGGAACGGCTACAAGTGCGGAAAATGCCTGAAAATGTTCTCGAGGAGAGACCATCTGCGGACGCACGAGAAGAACATCCACGGCGAAGACGTCGGGCCGTTTGCGTGCACCATCTGCTCGCAGCTCTACAAGAACTCCGAGAGCCTCCGCAAGCACATCGCCAAATTTCACTACGTCAGCAAAGACGAGCGAAACCTGCATGCACATTTGCAGGCGCAAGCAACGTAGGAAACGAGCTGCCGCGCGATTCTAGTCTGTTGTTCTTAGGTTTTCTTTTATATATATTTATATTTAAAAATGATTATTACGTAATTCATTCGGTTTAAGACTGGCCCATCTAGGATTAGCACAACGTAAGTCCGAGGGGTGTTAATGTTATTGTTTGTTCCTTTTTTTCTTTTGGTTTCTTCAAAGCTTTCTCGAAATAAACACCTACAAACAATTCAATTACATTTTTAGCTAATAAAACAGTTTTATTTATTATATAAGACAACACTCATATTATAAATATTAATTGATAATTTCATCTACAGATTCTTATTGTAGGTGCTTTTTTTGATGAAGCATAAGATGTGATACGTTATTTCTTAATACGAACGTTGTTGAATATTTATATAACTTACTATATAATTAAAAAAAAAAAAACGACAACAAAATGTGGTTGTGTGCCTTAATTTTATATATCGATAAATTTTATAGATAAATGTATATTAAAATAAAACAATATTTGTTTGATTCACTCATCATTTATTATTTTAATTCGTGCGTTCAATCTAGTATAGTTCTTCGGGGAATTGGATAAGCTTAATTACTTAACGTCTATTCTTTTTGGTGGTGGTTGGGTTTTTTCTTACTTCTATTCTTCTGTGATATTAATTTATCGAAGATTACGCAAGGGTATGGTGTTTTCTATTGTTGTTATTGGATTTTTTCTCTCTTTGTTTGTGATTCCTTAACTTGCCGATAAATCTGCGCTCTCTGTTTATGTACATGTATATATAACACTTACGATCGCTCTTACTGTCTTTGTTTTGTTTGGAATACGGTGGTAATTTTGGATTTGGAGTCGTCGCCCGTGACACGGCATCACACGCATCATTGATTTATCGTTTTTGCAGATGTTGTTATGTATACGGTTGACGAGAAAGGGCACGCTTATTGTCCGTACTGTTTCAAGAAGTTTGTGAACAGGTACAACCTGAAGGTGCACATCCGCGATAAGCACGACACGAGCGCCTCCAACCTGGACTGCCTGATCTGCGGCAAGACGATGAGGAATCGGAGCTGCCTCAGAGTCCACATGTACCATCATCGAAAGCAGGAGCAGAAGATGAATTCCTCGTCCACGCCCTGAGGCGTTGGGAGGCAACAGCTACCTTCTCCAAACGCTCCGCCTCCAAACTCCTCCTTTCCACAACCACCCACCCCCCCACTCGACGCCGTCCCAACCAAAACTAGTGAAATTGATCAAAAAAAAAAATGAAGAAGTAGAAGAAAGAAAGCATCAATCTCTTCTTGCTCTTCGGACGAAGAAACGTTTGCTGGTAATAATTAATTTAAAAAAAATAATGGATGGAAATTCGTGCAACGAATGACAAAAATCCGAAATTTATAATTAAGCACTAAAACAATTTACAAGCAAAAAAAAAATGATAACAAAATTGTCTAAATGAACATCTCGAATGCAATTCGGGATTGATCAAAGTGATCGCAAAAAAAAAAATAATATTTATATAATACATACGATTTAATAAGACGGAACACGGAATTATATTTTACTCATATTTCTTTTATCATCTATCTAAAGCAAACTAAATGATTCACAAATTCAGAGAAATTCTTTAATAGCATCATTGTTTGCTTAATAGTTGCATATCAAACTTATTTTTTATTTAATTCTACAATCTATTCGTTCAATCCTCGTGGTAGTTCACTATACACGTTTCGCATACATTCCATGGCTACTACTACGGCTGTGTTTATTTTTGTTGTTGTTGTTGTAATATTCCTTTCCAGTTCGGGCGCAATTGTTTTAATTTGTTTTTTGTTTTCTTTTTAATTATTTCGTTGTTAGCGTAGCCCAGAAACTTTAACAGTCCCTTCTTTTCCTCCCCCCAAGATGATTGATAGTAGTAATAAACTGTACTTAATTCGTTTTCAATTCGAGCGGAGTGTGGACGTTGTCTCACCGTGAGAAAATAACTAATAATTTATTTAAAACAAATAAACCGTAGTCCAATTAATTAAATATTTTATTATTCTACAATTAAATAATTTTTTTTCTCGTTACTATTTATTTCCATTTTATTAATTATTGCAACTTCGACCCTTCTCGAGATGTAGTTACTACTTATTACGATTACGACTTTATTGTATGTTCTGTTTTTTGTTAATTTATTTAATCTAAGATTGTCTAGCGTGGGTATATTTATTTTTCTATTTGTTATATTTTATACAAAAAAAAATATATATATATTATCGAATAGCGTTATCGAGTTTGTTTTATTTTCAACAACTTTATCGTCGTCGAAATGCGGTGATAATTGCTGGCGAACGTCGGTTTCCTCCACGGAAACGCGTACAACAGTGCGTGAAGTAAGGTCGGAGCGGCGAAATGTGGTTCGATTTTGGGCGCAACGAACGCTTTCCAACTATCTACGATGAGCACAGGACCCCCGTCACCGTCGACGTTCTGGACGCGGGGTTCATCCTCGCTGCCGTCATCCTCGCCGTCAGCTTCTACGTGTCCATGCTGACACCCAGACTCAAAGATGTAAGCAAAAGATACATTGGACCAAAAACGCGACGACCTTATGCCACACCCAATTCCATAACGAACGTTTCTGACTCATAGGAAAACCCATCACTTCTTAATTCACCAAGATCTCTTAGTATTATCTTCTTAAAGATATTTGCGACAACCGAATTTTACATCGAACAAAACTTTACTTAATCATGCATCATGTTTTTTTTTTTTAGAATATCTTTTCGTACAGCCGAGTCACCGTTAGCATCCTTATAGGTGTTATGATTATGCGTAAGTAGTTTGATCGGACTAGTTTTAATTTATTAGTTAAGTTTTATTTTTTCTTTTCCAGTGGGAAACTTCGGACAGGAATGGGAGGTGGGTCACGTTAAATCCGTGATGCCGTACAAGGCAGGAAGCGGCGTCCAGATTAACGGCAGCGTCGGCATCAAAATCGGGCTGCGTTCGGTGAATGTGACTCTGGTGAGCGACGTTGATCGCAACAGCAGCCTCAAGCACGAAGTGATCAACTACAACGAGAGATTCCACTGGACGTGGGATCAAGGAAGATTCGGATTCGGACCTTTCGGTGAGAAACACTACTGAATTGTTGAAAATTAAAATGAAAAAACAACTTTGCAATTCCATTTCAGCCGGACAACTGCAGCAAGAGTTCCGCAAAGCCCAATACGAGGGAGTGCCGACGCCGATCCTGTGGATCATGGAGTATTTCGTGATCGATGGCGAGGGTTTTCGCTTCGGGAGGTTCTACAGAACTGCAGGCTGGTATTCGCACATCCTCATGTGGGGCGCCTTCCCTTGCTGGCTCCTAGCCAACATATTCTTCAAGTAAACCGCAATACCAACATTTTGATAATTATAATCCTTTAAACGTCTCTGCTATTGCAGATCCGTCGTCAGATACGGCGGATACTGTTTGGGAGTGGCCGGACTTCTTCAGTGGAGCGCCAACTTGGTTTGGCTGGTCGTGAGAAACCCGAACCCTCTGATCATCCCGTTCGAGGACGGCGCCATCGAGACGATCTTTGGACCTTCCTATTGGTTAACCTTCTCTTGCGGTCAGTTTGACAGTCATATATATCTCAGCAACTCACTAAATAATTTAATTTCAGGAACAATCTGCTTAACGTTGAGCATCGTAATACTCATTTTGGAGTACTACTTTCCTGAAAAGTTGTACAATTACTTCGGCGTCGATTTGCTGAAAACAGCAGACATCAGACAAATTTGTAATTACCTCAATTTTGATTATTGTATTTATTTATTGTCTATGTGTTTTCTCAGTTGATGACAATCCCGAGAATTATCAAGCAATAGACAATACGACGTCCAAACCATTGCTGGCTCAGGATCACATGGAAATGGAAATGAGAAATACCCCTCGCAACGTTGAGCATGTACAAAGAAGATCGATCCAGGTTTACAAAAGCAGGAATCGCAACACGATTCTCAAAAAGGCCCCCGCAGCTGATCCGGTTTACTATTCATTGTAAACACTTTCAATATTGTTACGTGCATGAGCGTTAAAATTATAAACATTAATTTCAGTTACAATCAGCAACCATCGACGACGTCGGCTTCAGCGAATCCAAGATTGCCTAGCAGGAATTTACCACCGCCTCTTCCAAGCAGAGCGGTCCGTTAACTTTTGGCTAACATTTTTGTTGATTTAACGTACCCAAAGATTACGCATCCACCCCTGCTCTTCAGGAAGAAATGATAACTCAAAAACATATATACATTAATTATTTATTCGCAATTTACTTGACATTTCTGTATCGTTAAGTGTCGGCATCGCGTTCACATTGCTTTTACTCGTTAGCTTCAGTTCGGTATTCTTGATTTTCCAATTGTTGTCGCTGAACGGATCCCTGGCGAGCGCGAACGTCTGTTCAAATACACCGGTCACGATGTTATCGATGTGCAACGTACCGCAGCACATTATTAAAACAAGTCCGTGCGGTTCTGATCTTCCCCTGGTACCGTCTCTATTGATGTTCGGATTAAAGTACAACCTGTAATCCGATTTGGTTTTGTACAGCAACCGTACAATCTCTTCGACGTTCGCCGCAACTTCGTCCGTTTGTATTTGATTACCGTTTATTAAATGAATCTTTAAATTAGCGTCTTCAAAGAAATGCTCTGTTCCTATACAACTATTCCCATTCATCATCCCATAAAACCATTCGCTGAACTTCTCTGCCATCAAATCTGTTTCATCCGTCAACACCTGCATCTGCTGATTGCCAGGTTCCTGCTCTTGTACAACTTTAATGTGATTACTTTGCCTATTCTCCTCGTTCATTGGAATCCTACAGTCATCATATTGATCCTCCCAGTAGATTAATATCATACCAATTAGTTTATCTTTAGTGATCGGCATAGTCACATTCATGTTGACTTCATGTGCATATTTGAACAGTAACTCCCTAGTTATCATCTTCCTCCTCAGGAAACTCTGTGCGCTCTGGGAATACTTAATAATTGCTTCAATAGCATCTGAAATAGAACTAGTCTCAATATACTACAAAGTATATACATTACTCAAACATACCTTTGCGGTTCTGCAGAGTATCCTTCAGGAATCCTTGTGTTACAGTCGCTGCAAGGGAGAACAGGTCAACATCATCGATTTTTCTTAAAATACTTTCGATTCCAGCAATAGCCGTAACGTTCTCAATCATTGTGTTCGCTTTGTTAACATTTCATAATATTTGTATATTTACCATTTCCAGGTTATGATTCAGTTTTGAAGGATCTAAATGTCAGATGAAGTATATTTGGTTGCATACGTACATTCGTGCAAATGCTATGGTAAAAGTTCAGTAAATAATTCAGTTTATTTTGAAAATTTATATTCTCGACGGTGTAAAAATATACGAATATAAAATAAAATTAATAAGTGTTCCTTCATTTATTGCATTCTAAAATCATTACATAGTATAACGGAAAATGCAGAAATCTTTTAAAGATTTCGGAATAGTTTACAACGTAAAATGAGTCAACCAATGTATTAATTGCATATATCATATGTACAAAACTCCAAGCGGTGAAATATTGATTTATATATATATATATTTTTTTTTTAAAACCATTTAACTCATACGAATGTTTTTAAGTTAAATAGTTGTTCTGCTCGTCGTCATCGCTATCATCGTTCTCGTCGACATCAGCATCAACGGGAACATCAGGCAAACGAATATTGCTGAGCAAATCTCTAACAGCTCCTACCAACGAAGTTACTCTGTTTCGAAGATCCTCGTCTAAACGAGGCTCATCTTCTGGTAAAGCCCTGGCACCGTCTTCTTCCCTGCAACGACAAACGCATACAATAATAAAATAGTACATTTCAAAATGATAGAATTAATAATCGACTTACTCTAAAAGATCCACGGGGATATCATTAGCGTTAAAATTCGGTAAAAGGGACCGGAACAGCATGCTCAAGGGCGATGACTGAGTGTTACCAGTACGGGGTTTCTTCGACTTCGTATAAATATTGATGGAATCCAATGGTGGTAGAGGATCAAACGATACTATTGCTCCAGAAGTTTCCTACAATTCGTTGTTATTATTGATGCCTTCAATTGAATGTTATTATTATTATGCTTACTTCATTATGATTGATTGTGACTCCTTTGATGTCGCTAAGGACTATATGCCTAGCTATACTTCTAGGCAAGTTGCCTTGATATCTGAGACCTCTTTTGGCCTCGTATTCTTTGATCAAGGGATCTTTCCTGTCCACACGATCCAGAACCTCGTGCACGTTCTTCTCGAGCCACGGAAGAAGGTCGCACTCCTTCCAGACGTGATAACTTCTGTGCACGTACAAATTAATCAGCTGCGTCAACGCTAAAGGCTGCCTGAAAATAATATATTGTTAACAAACATCCTATTGGTTACAATAAAATTGTAATTGCGTGAACTCACTTATTAATCGTATGGCTTCCAAAGAAATCGTGCTTCTGGACGCGCGCATCTATCTGTACCGAGCATTTCTCTAGAAGCGGCTGAAGAACACCGGGGAACATGATCAGGGCATCCTGCAGCAAACTGTCAGCAACAGCTGTGTCACCATTGGCAGTGTGGAAATAAGCTATGGGCACGGAGAAAGCAAAATTCGGAAGCTGCGATAGATTCTTCGTAGGTTCCCACTCGGTGAAGAGATCGATAAGCCATCTGTACTCTTTAGCTCGTAAAGCATAAAAGTCCACCGCCAATTTGACAGCCAGCGGGTCATCCGGATCCAAAGACAAGAGGAGTTTGCAGAATTCTAGAGCAGTTCTATAGCAGGCACGACTGCCGACATTCAAAAGGTGCTTGAAAACTGTAATGAACAACGCCCTGTTCTCCTGTCTTTTGTAATCCAAACGGCATTGCCCTTGGGTAACATTGAAAGACGGATGAAAGGCACATTCCAGACAGTACAGAGCCCTTTCGATCAGTTCCGCTGCCATCGCAAAATCCTCGCTGAGCTTGCACAGATCGGAGACCTGGATCATCGCATCTATGTGGTAAGGATGATCGTTGATGATCGCAACGATGTTGTCGGGATTTAGGCTGTCGACGGCGTCCAGAAATCTGTTCTGGATCTGCCTGTAGTACGTGCTATGTTCGTACGTGAAGTACTGAATAGGCCCGAAGTAGTTGTGCTTAGTATCTACGAGGCTCATGGTCAATCCAGTTTTAGAGACGGGCGGCCAATTCTCTTTTCCAGATACCAACCAGGTGTTCTTCACGTGGCCCCTCTGCCCGCGATTCTTCCTCTTACTGTAAATTTAACAATTATAATAAACAAAAATATCTGTGACAACACGCAAAAACTAACTGCTCAGATTGTATGATCTTTGAACCAAAGATGCGTTTCAGTTCATTCTGGGGGTTCAAGTGTTTATGCTGGATGCTCAGGATGTTCTTCCTGCTGTGACTGTGCCTCTCCACTTTGCTTCCGCTTCCAGTTGATGATGATCTGGCAATGATTGATTCACCCAGCAACTTATTCACCTCCCTCACTGACCTCTCCACTTCATCAATCTGAAATAAATCCAAAACATTGTTCAATTTCATATTCACATTTTTTTTTTTCAGAGTACAACTCACATCAGCATTGTCTTCACTGCTTCTCTCCACATTCGCAGACTTGCCAGACTTTTTCTTTTTCTTCTTCTTCTTGCGCTTGACTGCCTCAGTTTCATTGTCATCCTCTTTGACTTCACTCTCGGAATGGGACAGCTGATTCAACTGCAGCGAAAGCGAATGTATGAATGTATTTTTTATCAGGTAAAATAATGTAAGTAAATCTCTGTACCAGGTCATATCTGTTGATGTTCAGTTGTTTCCTTCTCGCTCCGCCGCTGGAGGGAAGCTCGTTATCATTGTCGCTGCCTTCTTCTACGAGCTCTTTGTCACCGCCCTGCAGCTTCCTCAACACCCTGGACGACATCTTCAGAGATTGCTGAAGGTGAAAGGAAAAGCACTTCGAAACCGATGTCAGATAAAACTATCTGACATGCTTTTCGAGTATTGACGTTTTCCACATCAAACGTCAACTCTGACAGTTTGTTAATTTGATATGTAAATGTGTACGAATTGATGTATACCGTATGTTTTTCTTCTTTTTTTATCACTTTTTAACCTTTGTCAGCGGATCACCAGCAGTTTCATTTAGTTTTATAAATATGCCTGCACTGCGACACAATCAAATTGTATTAAATCAATATTTCTATTTAAAACGTAATTGTTGGAAGAATAACCACAGTTGTAATTATTTATTAATTTGTATTTATTGTGCTATTTATATCATATGTATATTTTTAATTTTTAGTATTCTTATAGGAACTCTTCCATAAGAGAAGAATTAAATTGATATTTAGACTTTAATAGCAAATTTTGCATAATATTATGTATCAATACGCTGGTAAATTAAATCTTCATTCAAAAATTTTAAAGCATGTAACAAGTTACTTGCAGTTTACTCAAAAGATGGCGTTTATGAGTACCCAATGCTAAGTGATTACCAATGAAGTAACAGCAATGGCGCTGGTACTATATTGTCATATGTCTTGTTAATGTTATCAATATATTATCGGTGTATTGGACCTTTCTAATTTGGTAGAAAGTCTAGTTTGGGTTGCGGTAAAATTGTGTGTTGGACGAGTGCTTAATATTGTGTGCGGTCGAGTTCAGAGACGGGGCAGGCCTTGTTGTTTATTTTTAGAATTTCGAAAAAGTCCTAGTTTTTTCATTTTCATTTGAAATGGAGGATATTTTCCATTGGTGTCGCGAAGGGAACGCTCTTCAGGTTCGTGTGTGGCTCGATAATACCGAGAACGATCTCAATCAAGGGTGAGTAGATCTGCGTAACCTTTTATGGGTATTTGTTTATGGTTGTATGTGGGTTCACCACACCACACCCATCCTGTGTTGTTTATACAACACACAAAACACATTGACATTGCATTTGTTTTTAGAGATGATCACAACTTTAGTCCTCTGCACTGGGCTGCAAAGCAAGGCCAATTCAAGATTGCTGAGATGCTGCTGGCCCGTGGAGCCAGAGTGAACGCTACGAACAGGGGAGATGATATTCCTTTGCATTTAGCTGCTGCTCATGGTCACATGGATATGGTTATGCTGGTAAGGAATGGAGCACACCTTCAAATATTCAGTGGCTGATGGTATTTGTTGTTGCAGCTGCTTAAGCATAAGGCTGATGTGAATTTTACAAATGAACATGGAAATTCCCCACTGCACTATGCATGCTTCTGGGGATACAATGAAATTGCTGAGAAATTGGTGTTCAGCGGGGCTCTAGTCACTGTTGCCAACAAGTATGGACATACTCCACTCGAGAAGAGCAAAGGTATGCTGTCAAAGAGGCTGCAGGAGATTGCCATTGAGAATGGGCAGGAGATGAAGAGAATCAAGTACAAAGATCAAAGTTGGTTGGGTTATAAGACGCGGTCGAGGGACGCCACTTTGAGTAGGTATAAAGGAATCAACGTTAAGGATCTGTACAAAAAAGGCAAGTTAGCATCGACTCCGTCTGGGGATTCGTACAGGGGCGTTTGGCAGAAGAACGAGATAGTTTTTAAGATTTTGAGCATCAGGAAAGTGACGTCCAGAATCTCGAGGGACTTTGACGAGGAATTCCCGAAGCTGCGCATCTTCTCGCATCCGAACGTTCTTCCGGTGATCGGTTGCTGCAATTCTCCGCCAACCCTGATCGTCATCAACCAGTACATGCCTTTGGGATCTCTGTACAGGGTGCTGCACGAGAGCAGCGACATCGTCGTCGATATACAGCAGGCGTTAAGGTTTGCATCTCAGATCGCTCGCGGAATGTCCTTTTTGCACAGTCTCGAGCGGATCATCCCCGAGTACCATCTGAACAGTAAGCACATCATGATCGACGAGGATCTGACGGCCCGAATCAATATGGCAGACTGCAAGTTCTCGTTCCAAGAGAAGGGTAGGATCTATTATCCCGGTTGGATGTCGCCAGAGGCACTCCAGAAGAAGGTCTCCGATCGTAACTGGGAGGCTTCCGATATGTGGAGCTTCGCCGTATTGCTGTGGGAGTTGGCGACGCGCGAGGTGCCGTTCTCCGATCAATCGCCTATGGAGGTCGGAATGAAGATCGCGCTGGAGGGACTTCGCGTCGTCATAAAACCGGGCATTTCGAATCACCTCTCGAAGCTGATCAAGATCTGCATGAACGAGGATCCCGGCAAGAGGCCCAAATTCGATATGGTCATTCCCATACTCGACAAGATGCTAGCTTGAGAAGATGCGCAACGAGTTTTATTATATGTGCATAGCTTTAAAATAACTGGACCCTAATCATTTTGTTAATACGTCTTCTCCCACAATTTTTAGATTTAGAATTTATTTATTTTACATTATTTAAGAGGAAACATATGTGCCTTATATATTGCCTTGAATGTAATTTTAAGCTTATTAATGACTAAACGAAAGTCAATTTACGAATAGTGCTTCCACGTAACAAAACAGTTTATGTTTATTTACTCTGCTGCCACTATCGATCCAACGATTTATATACACGTCGTCCGATTGTTGTTTTTTTTTTAAATTATTATTTATTGGACGCCCTGTATATAAGTTGTATGCATTCGTAGGAGATATTATATTTTGTATTAACATTCGGACTAATTTAGTCGTAGTAATTCAGTTTATATGTAATATAATTTTTATTTTTGGTGCTTCTTTAAACAAACAAACAAACAAAAAAAAAAACGAACAAAACACGTTTATTTTAATAAAAAGTTTTTATTAATGTCAATTAATTTCAGTATCGATCAGGGTTCGGCAATGTTCTTACAATTTCAGATTTTTAAATGTTTAATATACAAAGAGACGAGAGCGAGCGAGCTTTTGTTGAGTGTTTATCTTTTATAGTGGTTTCTTCCCATGATTGCTGCGTCCGGTCTTATATCACGATACACTCGTACGGGAATATATCGTATCTACCGGCACCGCCCTTCGGACAAGCTGCGAAAGTTAACCGAGAAATAAACGAAATTGTACAGTTACGTAAAAGCTGAGATCTCTGCAAACATGTGTAGATTCGTTACTCACCTCGGCTGCAGCGAGCACCGAAGAAGCCGGTTCCTTCGCAACGGCATTTGAAGCCCGGAGCCTGCGAGATCTGGATGCAGGAGCCTTCGTGCATGCACGGGTTCGGATAACATCCGTTACTTCTTTTGCCTGAATTCAGTAAGTTTGTAAGAAATTTCAACATCGATTCAAATGTTTACCTTTCAACGCGCTGTGGCAAGCTTCGTATGTCTCGTAAGGGTAGTCCTTCTTGCAGCCGAAATCGTCGCAGGAACAACGGCGGTTATGGATCCTGCATCCTGTTCCCCTCTCGTGCTGTTCACAGCTGAAACAGACCTGTAGACCTGAAAAAAATCAAAGAAACATTACTTTTCACACTTAATGAATACATATACAACACGCAATATATCAGAATTTGTAAGTTATTATTTAGCAAAGTGAGTCTTATAAAAACATGAAATAAAATTGATGTTCAGTTCAGGAAACCATGTTAAAACTGATTAGAAGAAAGACCAAGATTGAACTTGTTGACTCCAATATGCAGCGTTTAGAGCCTATCCAAAAATGTAATCAGTATTGACCTAAAACGTATAGTTTAGTTAATCTAAGAGTTGTAAATACTGACGCCCGTTTTCTATTAAATACCATCTTCCATCCTGTTTATTAAAACCATAAACGTTTTCACCTTTTATTAAAAATACGAATGTAATGTAATTTAGAAGAGAAAAAAAATCTATGATTAATTGGAGCAGTCTTATCTTCACATAATGAAGAGGAACAAAAATAAATAAAGTGTGAATGGAATATTTTATAACCATGAACCATACGTAATGCTAGAATCGATTTGCCTGTTGCGTTGCAGTGTGTGCTCTGATGATAAACGACAAATGCATATCATTTAACATATATTTTATTATCGTTCGCGTTTCCTTTTCCTGAAACAGCACTACACGATTCTCACTCCCTATCTAGTCAATTGTAATTCGTTGCAAGCAATGACTATGTTATGTTTAAATATATATAAACACATTGACGCCAAAAAACAAAGCCGAAAGAAAATATGTTTATTTTGAATCTTCGTAAAATCATTAGTTTTATAAAATTGTATTTGTTAAATGCAATACGGTTTCATACAAAGTATTAAAAACACTTTCTGTAATTATCGAATGCGTTCATATTATTAATTTGTATGGAAAATATGCTTTTTTCAGGTCGTAAAATGTGTTTTTTTTTTTAACTGAATTTCCTGGTAGTGTAGTGGGTACGATTTTCCTCGAATTTCAGGTAATGTGCCCTTCTTTGTTCGACTGCAAAGGATCGAGCTTGGAATTTGAGAAATTTTTATATTTATATATAATTTGAAGCAAATGAAAATATTTGCTTGCGTCGATATGATAATAAGTTTTGTTTGGTTTCGAGGATATTCTTTGTTTCAGTTCGTGTTGATGTTAAATACCGGACGTAAAGATGATATCGATGGTTTTGATGTTGAGAAACAAACAAAAAAAAAAAGGAAAACACTAATAAGGAAATGATTAATTGATGTATTGTTGAATCCACAAGAATATTTGTTATGATAATAATATGTTGTTTAGGATTCTTTGTTTTAAACGCGTGTTTATCGATGATTGTTGTTGTTTTTAATAGTAAACTTACCTAATATAAAGAAGAAAGCAATGGTAAAACGCATCGCGCTATTTGTAAAGTTTGTTAACGAAGACACGGGGGTTGATTAGATCTTCGTAGATGTTGATGGCGTTATAAAATCCGAGTTAATGATGATGATGTTTTTTCTTTTTGCCGAAGGGAACCTATGCACTGAGCCCCCCGAGCGTAATAATGGTAATTCGAGACTGAGAGCGCATCTCTCGCATGAAAGTGAATAGATAAGAGCAGTCGTTGCCCCCTCATTATCCCACACTCCGTGGCCCTCTTTCTCTTTTCCTCAAGCATCCCCTCTCTCTCTCTTAGTCCGTCCCTCTCGCTCTATCTTCAGCTGGTATCAATTCCGTCCTGTGGACGATAACGAACCCGGGATGAGTCGGGTAGAGAGTAGGCATCTATCGGAAATTGTGTAGGGTAAATAAAAAGTTTATTTTGAAAAAAAATTATATATATATATTTAAGCTATTTATATAACGGATATGTAAACAAATCTTTATCTCTTTATGGGCGTTCTTCGGATGAGGGCGGGAGGCTTCCTTATCATAATTTGAAGCTGTTCTTGTTGTGCATTCGACCGCTCGGAATCCCTCCGTCTTGTCTCATCCTTCGCACGGCCTCCCGCAGATGCTTCGGCTGCAGCGGTCCCACCTCGCACACCTCTTCCATTACATCCAATCCTGCAAATCAAAATAAACAATTTACTGTTGAATACTTATGAAATGTATTCTAAATATCTTAGTTCATAAGAAGTTCTTTACAGTATATTTTTTGGTATACTAATTATATATTAATTGATTAATAATTAATCTTTGGCGCTTCATAGGCAACCCAAAGGTCAACGATAATGCTCAACTCGTGTATTTAAATGCAATTACCTTCTTCCACGACTTCTCCAACAAATACTTTGGCAATACCAGCCATGGCGATGACTACGTTTTGGGAAACGGAGCACCCGGTAATCGTCTGCATCAGTCTTTTGATAGCAGCTTTTGGGAAGGCGGCTCTCCTGTACATCTCATATCGGTCGAGCTGCTCCTCAGTGAAGTTGGAAACCAAAACCCTACAAAATATTAAACATACAATAAAAAATATCTGTTTGACCCAGCAACGGAAGCAAACTCACTGCATCTTCTCTCTCTCCTCCTCCTCAATCTCCTTCTTCGTCCTTGTATCCTTTTTCTTGGAATTTGAAGACATGATAGGTGGTACATCCTGCAGAAGCATCTCAGGATCGAAAGGTTCATCCTTGATATCCATCTTCATTTCATCGGAGAAGCTCAGATTCAATTCACAATCATCGTCTTTGAGCATGTTCTCTTCGATGGCGAGCGCTGCATCCCTGGAGTCTTCATCGTCCAATTCGGAATCGGAGTTCGTGCTGTTCAGGTCGTCCTTGAGCTGCTCCAGGACCTTGGGGTCCACGTCCATATCGGAATCCTTCTTCAGGATGTTCTCCATGGTTTATTCGATTTGAATTTCGCGCGGTAGCAAACGCTGACAGCAGCTGTCAGGCTGTAGCTTAACCTGCGTTTGGTACGGGGTTTAACTTACTCAGATCTTCGGATAATATCGTTTTACTATTTTTTTTGATAATGCAGAGTTGTAAAGCGATATTCTGTTTGTTTTCACATTTGTTGTGGAAATGAAATACGTTCAGCTAAACGGAATGCGACGTATTCGTCAACATGGTCTTTAATGCACTTTTGAAGCACTGTTGCCAAATTCGGTATTGGGATTGTTAAATTGTAGCGAAAATGGTTTATTATTTCTGTACGTATGCAGCTTGAATGTGAGATTCGGATTTTTGTAAAGTTGCTGAGATCTTTTTTCGAGGTTTCGTTTATATTTTCGAAGTTTGCTGCAGTTCTTTGACTCGAGTGTGAAGGTCAACGTGACAACGTTTCCGATTGGTGTGTTAGTTCTTGCGAGTTGCCGAGGGCGGCGCCAGTGGCGACATTCAGTCAATATATCACGTTAGTGCTTTTGACAATAATTCTGTTTATTCCACGGAAAATGACGCAAATGTTCGCAAACGTCTGAAATTAATTGCGTTACGGGTGCGAGGAAAGGTTGGTCCTTCGGTGCAGAGGCTCTCGGCTCGCGTTCAGCCGCCCAGGACACCGTCCGAAACCCACACATTCCTTTTTTTTTTCATCAGACAAAACCACACACACGTACATATACACACATTCACAACACCTCCATTCATCCATCCTCCTGTCTCAGAGACTTGTTTTTGTTGTTCCCGTTTGTTTGTTTGTTGTTATTGTTGTTGTCGTCGTCGCCGTCGCGATACTGTTTTGTCTGCGAACAAAAAACATTATTGCAGTGTGCGCCAAAACCGCAAATGAACTGGAATTGATTGCTGCAGCGTTCGCTGAAAGGAAAGAGGAATTGCATATTGGACTTGTAAGTAATCCTCTCGTTGTAATTGCTCTGCATGCATTTCAACCTAGAGATTCCTCAGGCTGCAAGTTATAGATAGCCCGGACCAGCTGATGGCCTGCCTTCGAAAGGAAGATACCCTCAGGATTCCTTGTCTCTCTGCCAGAGAGACAAGAGAGAGGACAAAAAAAAACTCTGCTTTTTCTGTGTGTGTGTTGTCTGCTGCAACCATTTTATTATTCCCTTTTTTCCCCTCACAGTGACTCAGTCCTTCCTTCATATGATTCACAGTTCTCTCTCTCTTTATATACTTTTCTGGATTTGCTTAGCCTTAATCCTTTTTATAGATCCTTATGCAACCCAAATGTATTTGCAATTCCTGAGCTGCAATTGTGTGTGCACACATCTCTGGGTTGCTAAGCTATTCCTGTATTTCAATTATTTTTTCATCAAAACCTTCTAGAAATATTATTAATAAACTATGTTATTTCGCAATCAAATGTTCATATCACTAACGTTTGTATTCAATTTTGCAATTATCACTAAACTGGTTTTAGCTTTTGTTCTTTTTTTCTTTATTCTCTCTTTCGAATTGCCTCCTTTTATTAAAGTATGTTACTTAAGTATGTTTCGTGGATACTGCGCTATTGTTCCGTGCAGTAAATTACAATGATTGCCTTCGTTCTATTATTATTACTTTTCGTGTGTGTGTGTGTGTGAGTCGTTTTGTTAACGGTTATCAGATTTTCGCGAATTCCGTGTACGCTCTCGTTTCATCGTCGTCCTCCTTCTCGAGACCTTCCATTTGGGCATTGTCTTGGCGTGCTGCTCTATTATTCGATTAACCGTTATTTGGTGGCCACGGCCACGTCGGATTGTTGTTGTACTTTATGAGAGCTTCGCTCTTTTATTTTTTTTTTTTAAATTTTACTTTTTGAGGTCATCAATGATTCACATCTTTTATTTTTTCTCTCTCTTCTTTTCCCGGTGCAGGAGCTAAGGAGAAGGGACAGGAGGGCCTCATCAGAAGGGTTCCGTACCACCGGGGTCTGGACACGTTGGATGGGGCTGCCTTTGCCCCATTTCTTTTGCACTGGCTCCAACCTCTACCACGATTACCCCGCTCAATTCAGAAGGTAAGCTCTGCTCTTCCTTCCAGGAAACACGATTTTCTTTCCCCTTAGCGACAAAAGTAGCTGAAAAGAATGATTGAGAGAGACAGTGAGGTACACACAAAATAAGAGATAAACGGGAAAGGAGCAGAGGTCGCAACAAAACGGGCCAGATGTTACCTCTTCACAGCAAATCGATTTGCTCTCTCTTCCGCTTTACGTTCTTCAAGGATTACGCAAGAGTTAAACGCTTTTGTATTCCATTCTTTCGGATATAATAGGTCATGGTTTTTTGAACATCCGCAGCGGATTAAACTAATTTCGGTGCGTCAAACTTCCATGATTCGCGTGTTCCTCGATCGGCTCATTAATTTAGTGCCATTAACAAATTGGAATTACATGAATAGCCACATCGTCTTATAAGAAATATATTTTTTTTTACAAGAGTTAATTTCATTATTTCTTCTTGTATTAATAATACAATATTATGATCCTCCCCATTCACATCTGTTGCACACGCTAATCATGACTAATGAGTCAAAGTATGCAAGCACTTGTGAAAATAATGTGTTATCAAAAGAACTAATATTAACGACACGCTTGACTTTTAAAAAATTTATTGATGCACATGTGTTTCTACTCGTTCGTGCCTTGATTTTATTCCTCGAAAAAGCACTTACAAATATTGACTCACAAACTTGTGATAATGAAGACGCAACATAAACTATCTAAATAATTTATTTCATCTGACAAAAAAAAAAAAACATAATCTGGTAATTACTTAAATTTGCTTTTTAAAAACACACCTTATAAGCATAAATGTTCACCACTATGGTTAATTTCAGTAAAGCTTTGGTGTCAATCCTTGTTTCCGCTTATTCCTATTATTTACTTCTGCATAGAATGTTCAAACTAAGATATTCCTGGCCGATAATAATTAGATTAATAAATTTATATAGCTTTAGAAATCGATGAAGCTGTGTATAAAAATAAACAAAAAAAAAAACAACAACAGAAGAAGAGAGAAACAAAAGCTCGTAATAGCCAGGAGCACGCGATGCGCGATTTGATGTTTAATAAAGTTAAAGGATGTTCGTGCCGTGTCCGTTCCGTAAAAATATTAAACAAACAAACAAACAAACCGACGAACACACCACCAATTGCCGCATTTAATTTGGCAAAAACGATGCGCAATCATTTAATTAGCTCAGAATTACGTTTGTTTCAATGTCATGTTCGTTATTGAAATGTGAACTAGTTTCTACTTGAGAGTAACAATCGATTATTCCATTATTTATTAATAGAATAATGTAATGAGTTTCAATTCAAGAAATATTTTGGAGAAAGCTTTTAATAACTTTCCACTGCATTCTTTTTTATACTAATCTATGAAGTATATCGTATCTTTATATGAACGCATTTGAAAGTAAAATGAAATAAAGCGCAAGTTTTCAGATATGTCAGAAATAGCTTATACTGTTCTTCGGTGCAGTTCCTCTAATTTGGTTGCCTATAATAAATAATTCATTTTATCGTGGAATCGTGATTGGCTTTGCCGCTGCAGGCTTACAGATCTTCGAGAGGGAACCGATCTTTATGACCTCGTGCGGAGCTCGCAACTTTGGTAAAGATGGTGAAAGATCATACAAACACGACGCGGCGCTTTTATGCTAGACATTCCTCGGATTTATCGCACGTTTAAGTTTAATTAATTTGTCCATCAAGTCTGCAGGATAATAGTACATTGATTTTGTTTTGAAGAATTTCCTTCAGTTGTTTGAATCAAAGCTTAAATGAAAGTTTTAACAGTCTGTGTTATGTTTTAGTTTTAGACATAGATAGATTTGAATATAAGAAGGTTGAGAAACACTGGAATATATTTGTTTTTAATTTTGAATAATTGGAAGTAAATCTATCAAGTTTGTGATTAAGTGTAAAAGTGTGTTTCGGTTTAATTCGGAGAATTTGCCAGTGTTAATTGCACTTCTATTGAATAATTGAATTGACTGCGATCGCAGTGATTCGTCATGCCAACTCAAATGCGATTGCACGAGTGAAATGCGTCCACGATTGGGTTAATATTTGCATATAAATCGCAGCGGGCGAAGTAATGGTGTTGTGAACTGTAAATCTGGAGGCTCATTTTCATTTCTATTTCTTTCTTTCTTTTTATATTAAAGCTGAAACGATTCATCCGCGGTCCATTTAAAAGCACTTTGTGAGCGTTTTCGAGATGGAAGTAGTGTGGGATAAATTACGATTTACGTTTTTTTTCTCTCTTTCTCTTGACTACCCCTTGTTACAACCCTCCGGATTCCGTGCTCATCTCTCATCCATTTTTTTTCCCAGCACTTGTTTCTCTCCGCTGACCCAAATCGGTGCAAAATTTCGTTGGCTTCCTCTCCTCCAGTCCTCTCTCGCTTTGATCATGGATTTTGTCTCGTTAGCGCTATTTAACGCTTTTTTTTTGCTGCTGCTGCTGCCTTCTTTCATCCTTTTATTAGTTACCAGTGCAGATGAAGAGACTCAGTTTTTTTTTTGTTGTATGTTAATCGATCGGTTTGGTGAAATTTGAAAACGTGGACCTCTCCCACGTAACCTCCGCTGTGACCCAATCCTCCTCCGGATTGCGCAAACTGTTTATGCGTTCCAATTCAAAATGGAAATTAATTGCATCCACACATACACACAGTGCATCTGACTACAATCGGCAGCAACAGATACATATATTATTATTGCTTTGCGACGATTTTATTTTGCTGTTATCAAATAGTGTGCGCCACGCATCACGTGATTCGTGGACGGGTCAGCTGTGTGAGCAGTCCCGAGGAGAGAGTTGAGCAGACCGGTGTTTATACTGCAGCTCTCCCGAATATCTTCTTGCTCTTTCGCCGCTTTCAGTTATTTCTGTTTTCCTTCGAGCTATACTCTTTTTTTTGTTTGCCCGTTCACCGAGCGGAAAATTCCAATTTTCCTCCACCGTTTGTTTGCTGAACGCGGAAAACACTGACCGACGTGGATTTGCAGATAGTTCGTGAGTTTTTCCACACATTTCT